TGCACCCCCCCTCTCCTGGGAAATGTTGGATAAAAAGCCTCACCAATTTGCATAGGTGACCACAGACCCAAACCCTTGGATCTGAGAACAATGAAAAAGCATTCAGTTTTTTACAAGAAGACTTTTAATAAAAAATAGAAGTAAATAGAAATAAAGAAATCCCCCCTGTAAAATCAGGATGGTAGATATCTTACAGGGTAATTAGATTCCAAAACATAGAGAACCCCTCTAGGCAAAACCTTAAGTTACAAAAAAGATACACAGACAGAAATAGTTATTCTATTCAGCACAATTCTTTTCTCAGCCATTTAAAGAAATCATAATCTAACACATACCTAGCTAGATTACTTACTAAAAGTTCTAAGACTCCATTCCTGGTCTATCCCTGGCAGAAACCAGCATACCGACAGACACAGACCCTTTGTTTCTCTCCCTCCTCCCAGCTTTTGAAAGTATCTTGTCTCCTCATTGGTCATTTTGGTCAGGTGCCATCGAGGTTACCTTTAGCTTCTTAACCCTTTACAGGTGAGAGGAGCTTTCCCCTGGCCAGGAGGGATTTCAAAGGGGTTTACCCTTCCCTTTATATTTATGACAGCCACAAAACACATGTTGCAGAAGGAGTGGGTGGTTGCAAACCACAGTTGCTACTACAGCCCACGTTCAGCAGTTGGGAGCTTGACAGGACCAGAGTCCTCTTTAAAGACTGGAAGAAGGGGAAGTACCAAGGCCAGAGGCAGCTTCTGGGCAACGAAAGTACTGGCAAGAGAAGTGCCGCTTCCCTTCCCCAGGTCCAGTGCAGGTAGAATGAGCAGTAATCGGCTTAATCTTCACTAAAGAAGATTTACATTAAATATTAAGAAAAATAACTGATAGTTAAGAACTGGAATTGGTTGCCAACGGAGGATGTGGAGTCCTTGTCATTGGAGGTTTTTAAGAACAGGCTGGACAAACCCTTGTCAGGGATAGTCTATGTCTATGTATACTTGGTCTTGCCTCAGTGCAGGAGACTGGACTAGATGACCTAATGCAGTCCCTTCCAAACATTTCTATGATTCTATGGCACTAATGTAAGACAGCAACAGCCTATGTAGACTTCTCTTCCTGTTAGCACACTCCTTTAGTAGAATCCTGTTCCCATTCAGTACCGCTCCTATGCTATTACTCCACTTTCCATGCCTCAAACATCAAAGGAGTAGTCCACAAGTCCCATCAGCTACTTTCTGCCCCTTCTCCTAGACACTGTAGGACAGCTCCTGGACCTCAGTCCTGGGCATGGATCCTCTCCCAGAGGAGTCAGCAGATGAGAGACACTGGGAGGAACCCTTCTTCTGAACTGCTGGCTTCATTTCCTTCCCCAAGTGGAGCTTGTTCCTACAGATAGGGTCTGATACCAGGAAGAAAAGGACTCAGGTGGAAGAAAGAAAAAAGATTCAATTAAAAAAAAACATTTAAATAAAAACCTTCAATTACTTTTACCCAGAAACCTCGAGCTTGTACTGTGCTCACACAGTGCACTGCTTATAACTGGATGCATTGAGAATATGCCTTACACTTACAGCTATCTTCTGACATTAAATCAGATCCAAGGATAAATATCTCAACTTATTATTTCAGAAATCCTAGCTCCAAAACACCCATCACAGCTAATCCATTTCAGGCAGAAGCTTGAGTGAACAGTGAGGCTTTACATTAGGCCCTGAAGATTAAACTCTGGGCTCTGGAAGTTGGTAAATCAGATTTCATAGTCAGACATAGCTGTAAGTGTAAGAAAACCCTGTTACAAGCCATCAGATGTTTAAAGCCAGGCCCTGTTAGCAAGAGCACGGCTGCTTACCTTAATCATGGGAACAGTGCACAGAAGAAAAACATGCAGCTAAACCCTAAATCATGCAGACTTTGCAGATTAAAAAAGTGATCAAGGTTTAAATTGCCATTGGAAGCAGATAGGGAGGTAGTATATACTTTAGAGCATTTAAGTAATGTGTACCCTATGGCCAACCCTGCTAACACTTTGAGCCAGTGTTTTCTGTATCATGAAGACTTCAGGTGCAGTCCTATGGGATTCATGTTACAGTAATTCAGTCTGGATCTCAAAGGTGTAGATGACCCTGTAAGATCCACATCTGACAGAAAAGGTTGTAATAAATGCAGAAACTATTAATATTAAAGTCACTTCCAGCCTCTGGGCACACTTCCAGTTATTCCAGTAAGCACAGATCCAGCAATATCCCTAAACTGTGAACCTGATTTACACAGGAAAGACACACCTGCAATAAAGGGGAAGGCACCATTCTTGCCCCGCTTTCCAGAAACTTATCCATCCAACCAGCATCAGCTCAGTGTTATCTGAGTTAAGTTTAAATCATCGTCCTCTCTTCCAAATTCTAACTTGTACAGGCATCAGGAAAGAACCATCCAGTTCTAATGAAAAGGCACTATAGCTGAAGCGTGGAACATGAGAAAAAGTGCAAGCAAAGGGCCCTATGGCGGACAAGCAGAGTTCTGGATCACAGTTACCACGGGCTGGATGCATGAATGGATTGTCATCAAAACTTAAGAACTCTTTAACTTTATTTTTCAAATGTAACAAACTTTATTACAGCAGAAACTGCCAAGAGGGACTTCTGATAGAGTGAAATACCACTTAGATTGAAGAGGCCTAAACCTGAACGAATCTGATACAGAAACAATAAAAAACAAAAATAGACCCTGGTGATCCACAGTGCTATTTCCATATAGTCAAGTTACAGGACAGGACCTTGCTGCATTGTCGAACTATCGAAGTGGTTCAGGAATTTGAACTGGAGCCATGAACCCTTTTTTTTTGGTATTGGTGTTTAGATACTATATGTTCCATGCCTGTCCTTTTTGTATTAAGAGGGATATGCAAAATGTTTTGGTGAGTACAACACATATGGGGAAATAGGCTTCTGAGCCCGAGCTTTCACTTTATCCATTGACCCACACCATGGGGGAATCCCCTCTGTATTCTAAGGTGAACATTTTACTGAGGGCCTGTCTACGCACAAAAAATGTAATGCTTTAACTATATTAGTATAGTTCAAGTGGTACAACAATTATACCAGTATAAAATATGTTTATACTCATATGGGAAGGGGAATCAGCTATACACCAGTATAAGGCATGTTTATACCAGTATAATTGTGTGCATATTAGGGATTGAACCAGTATAACTTTATTGGAAAAAAATCATACCCCTAACCAACAGTTATACCATTGCAAAAGCTGTGTATGGAGCAGACATCTGTCAGCATTAGTGAATGGGGAACATTTAACTTTCGTTGTGGGTGGGGCTTTTTGTGTCATGGTTATACACAACTCTGTTGTTCCCTATTTGGCAATCCATACAGTATGTATTTGTGCCCTTAGATATCAATCCTGCTCCCACTGAATTAATCAGTATCAGGCTCTTAGGCTGCAAGCTTCACAAGAGACAGTGACTTAGTTCTCTCTCTCAAAGTTGCTTTGGTATTGTAAAGCACCCTGCACATTAATGGCACTGTATTAATAACAATACTTAGCACTAACACAGTGCCATACTTCTGTAGCTCAAAGAACTTTACAAAGGAGCATCCCCATTTTTTGTATCGCTGACCCCACACAGGTCATGAAAATCACAGAATTGGCTTAAGAATCATGAGATTTATAAAATGAATTTTGCATTCTTTTTATTTGCCTTCTGGTTTCTGAATCTGTAGGGTGCATTTGCTTATGTTTAAGCTTCTTTCTGCAACCATGAGGGTTAGAATATGGGTTTTTTTAAAATGAAAGTTGAGATTCTTGTGCAGTCTCTCGATTCCAACAGTTGGGGCCTTAAAAAAATACTTCAAATATTGCAAGACTTACCAGAAAGTTGCCAGAAGTGGTGACACTGCATTTTACAGGTGGAGAAACTAAGAAACCAGAGAGGTGACATGACCTGCCCCCAAAACAATCACAGAGCAAGTCAGCAACAGAGCTGGGAAAGAACCCAGAACTGTTGACTCCATCTTGTGCCCTATCCACTGATCTGCACCGCCTCCCTATTAGGCTGACTTAAATTCCTCTTCTGCATGAAAACTGCATATTCCTCACTTAATACAACGCCCCCTCTGACTTTTCCCCACCCCGCTCTAACAGTTTCTCCCTGTTCGGTATATATATTACCATATGTCAGCTATAACTGTTTTGGATATTGTGATCTAAGTTTGTTTTTTTAAAGCCCTCCCACAACATCTCAGCAGGAACTAGCCCCCACCCCCAAACAATGATAAACAGCTGCCATCACAAACCACACTAACATTATTTCCCAAGTTGTCCCCTTGGGAAAGAGCTCCTACCCTCATCCAGACAAACCCTGTTACCAAAGTACAATCAGCTTAGAACAAGTAACAATATGCCAGCATGTAAAAGAAGTGATGATTTTTTTTCCTGGTTTAAATTAAGCCATTGCTTTTAAGAAAGTTGTTATATTAAAACTGCACGAGAAACTGTTTTGAGTTTTAAAACAAGTTAGTAGGTCAGCCAAGAAAACTATTAACTTGAAAATATCATTAGAAATGTAATTCAAACAGCATGCAAGATTTAGTTTGCTGAGCATAAGAGCCGCTAACAGCCATGCATTCTGTACATTCAGAAGCAATCAGTGGAAATGCTAGCAATATGGAAACAGGAACTTTAAAGGTAGTGTGGCAAAGAGCAATTGACTAGTTATAAATAAATACTACTGCTTTCTCTGCTGCACATGTTTCAGTTAAACCTTTTAGGGTGGACAGAACCTTCCAAAACTATTTTTACACTTGCTGTGTGTGAGTCAACAAGTTAGCCCTGTTTCTTCAGAGTTCAAAACCAAAACAAATCTTGTTATTTAACAATTATATGGGAAGGGAAGGGGGGAAACAATTATTCCATATGCAATGGAACACACACATTAAATTCATAACACAGAAATACAATGTAAAAGTTGAGTGACTCCAAAAATACGTATGGGGTACACTCACCAGAGGGTGTGAGGTGTCCTCTTTGGAAGTACTTTTCTTTCTCCTCTGTCCCCCTTTCTGTTACTGGTGAAAGAAGATGACAAGGTAGATGTAGCTGTCATCACTGCAATCACTGGAGCTTTAATCCATTTTATAGTACCATTTTGTATCAAAACTTAAATCAATTACTAGCTTATAACATATCATTTTATCCCATTAGTACCTCTCAGGACCATATGGGAAATTGTTTACAATCCCTCTCTAATGAATGCTGCACTTTTATGAATCGCCAGATCCTAAAACAGAGCTTAATCCTGTGAGGCCTTTGGTGTCCTCATCTCCCCTATAGAAGCTGAGTGTTTGCAAGACATTGCAAGACAGAGGCCTTTGAGAAAGACTCATGGGGGCCAAGAGCAGTTTTTTTCTTCATTATAAATTATGTGCTCATATCTAGTGCAGAATAAAAAAAAATCTGTTTCCATAAAACATCAGGTTTTACATTTGTCAGTTTTCCAGTTCTTCTATTGACAGTGCACTTGATTAGTACATCTGTTTCTTTTCTTTAGATCTTTGTTAGTGGAAATACTGATTTTTATTAAAATGCCCATGATATGACTTCAAGGACATACATTTTTATATTAATATGGTATGTACAGTGGTATAGTATACTGTTTTAATGTTTTATTATTAATTATAGTTTGTAAAGTGAATTTGGATCTTTCAGGATTAGAAGTATTATAAAATGTAAAATAATGCAGCAGTATTAAACTCTGAAACTCGACGGTAAATCTATGGGGGAAATTACCTTTTAAACTACATAGTATGATCTTCAAATTGTCTAGGAGGAGTTTGTCCAGATATCTTTGTAATACATTGAAATGCTCGAAAATACAGTCTATGAAATTAATCTCTGTTTATATGTGTGAAGTTATAAATTTCTTATCATTATAGCTTGTCATTACTTTCAGAAAGAGTAACTGACACATGCAACTGGAGACAATAGTATTAAAGCTTTCAGAATGGACATCTACTTCTGTAAACTCAAATGCCAGAAGAACCATTCAATATTAATATTGCATTATAATGGTTAAAAGGTTTTGAGTGCCATAAGAGATTTCACAACACAGAACATCTGTGGGCTTAATAGTAAAAATTCTTCACGAACTATTGAAATGCTTACTCAAAAATTGTCTTAAGGAATTGTAGCTGTATAAAGTATAAACAAACAAACAAATAAAAACAACAAACAAAAAACAGAAGGGGGGAGAGAGACTTTTGAGGTTATCATTTGGAGCAAATTATACATCAGACCTTCCCCTGAGACTACTTAGATTCTTTTCCAAATGGTAAAAACTTGGGCTCATTCAGGCAGCAAAATTGAAAGAGATCACCAGCAAAGCCCAGCCAAACCAGCAGAAATGAGAATTTGGGAGTTCATGAAATGAAAATTGATCCAAGACAGGAAATTGACTTGGGCAGATGTGTAGAAAATGATGGCAACCAGAAACTGCATTATACAGTGCATTATAAAACAATCTCTTCCTTTCCCTCCCCAAGCCAGCTGCAGATGCGTAGATTTCTGGGAGGGCAATAACCCTACAGTAATGTGCATCTGTAAAGTAACAGGGCAAAGAAAGCTTGGGTAGTACTGGGAAAGATCAGAGCAAGACAAAGGCAGATGCAGTACAGTACAGATGTGTTTTGATCCCAAATTTAGGACCAAATTCTGCCATGCTTATTCCGCAAGTATTCCCATGGTAAGAGGATTGCTTGTGGGAATAAAGGTATCAGAATCAGGCTTTTAGTCAATTTATTTCTCTGACCAGAGAGTCCACCTCTGCAACCAGCAAATGAAAATGGAGCCAAGCAAAAGGCTTTACTAAGGCCCACACAGGGCCATGCCTTAACATTGCTCTGCAAGTCAGTAAGGACTTTCCCGCTCCTTCTGCAGCCTGCACTAGGGCTAGCCAGATCACAGTTCTGGGGCTTGGGGAGCACAGAGACAGTGTGCAGATCCTCCTCTGTAGGAGTGAGTCAGTGAGGAGTAAGACAAGCCATAGCTCTTGTCATATCTCAAGCAAGGAGAACTGGCTAGCAATGTGGCAGGGCATATGCTGCACCCCATAAAGTAGTGTCACAAATTACTGAACCTTGATCCCAGCAGAAGATGATAGGGAGTGATGCTTCCCCTGGGCAATATGCACTTAGCGGCAACTAACTTTGCTGCAGAAATACGATCACCAGGGAAAGCCTGCAGCTCAGAAGATCAGTAATCTAGAGAGAATGAGACTAGGCTTTAAAAGTCATTTGGACATGGATTAAAGTTTCTATGGGCCTGCAGCCAATGATAGATTTAAATGTAATATGAATGTTAAGAAAACTATGTGATACTTAAAACTCATCAGGCTGAAAGTCTGTTTACGAGCATGCTTTAAAAGGAAGGAAGAAGGCAGTTCTGCAGTAAATTTGAAGTTTTCTGAAGCAGGACAAAACAACCAATAGCCACAGCCAGTTCTGACAGACAAAAAGATGCTGATGTAGTTTTAAAAAAAGCCAGATTTAATTAAAAATAACTCTGTACATATGGGGGACAAGGTCTCGTTCTCGCTGAAATCCCGTAATGATCGCTTATATATTACAAAGGCACTCTTTCAGATTCTGAATCCAAGATAATTGATTACATAGGGCTATCCATCAGTTGAATTCACAGATGATGGATAATATTGTGCTTAAGCATACATGGTGCTGTATTATTAATTAATGATTATGCTCAAAAGTCTCCCAGGTGCTTTAACAGAGCAAACAAAGATGGGGTCCCTGACCAAGTTCGTAACCAGATGATGCTTTCACAACGTGATGCAAGAGAAGCCGTGGTTCCTTTTCCTAGACTCTTAAAAGCTTAATGACAGCATCCTTCATCTCTGCCAGGTACCATGGGGTCACCATTCCCTTCCTCAGCTTCATAGGCCAGGAATCCTTGGGGCTAGAGCTATGGTTCCACTAGAGAGTTTACAGCAGCGCAACTGCACCAATGCAGCTGCGCTGCTGTAAACTCTCTAATGTAGCCGCTCTAAGCCCGCGGGGGAGAGCTCTCCCACCATCTTAACTACTCCAGCCCACATGAGCAGTGGCAGCTATGTCAGCAGGAGGAACTCTCCTGCCGACATAGCACTGTCCATCCTGGTGCTTATGTCGGTGTAACTTATGTCGCTCAGTGGGGTGGCTTATTCACCGCCCTGAGTGACATAAATTATGCCGACGTAAACTGTAGTGTAGACATAGCCTGAGTAATCCCAGGGATCCTCTCGTACAGATCTCCTCTGTTCCACTGGAAAGAGGAAGGGGCAGAAACCTCTACAGCAAGTCCTTGCTGCCCTCCTAGGTCTCCACATGGGATGTGGGCATGTTAAGGATCTAAGTCATGTCCCCACTTGCCCTAAAGAGTAGTGGGAAACTGCCTTAAGAAGAAGTACTGGGGGCAGCATAGCCAGGGAAGCCCTAGCTGGCTCCAGAGCAGAGTTTTCTTTGTCCTAAGCCCCCACTTGCATGTGGGGGAATTTAGGCCTCAGTCCTTTCTCTCCTTGTTTGTAGCATTCATGGATCCTTTTCTGGGCTTGTGATTCTACTTCTACAATTCTGTGGTTAAAGGGACACTGGCAACTTGTTTGTGCTTCTAAACTCACCGATTTGAAAGAACACTCTTTTCTGGGTAGGTTCCGTTTCATAAGGGTTTCCAGCTCACCTTTTTCTGTTTAAAAGGATCATTAGTGCAGACCCAAGAGCATCACCAACAGACTGACACCTGTCTGCCTGCCCCTCTCCCTTTCCTCTCCGCATGCATGGCTGCCTGCTGCTTCTTCAGTTTCAGTTTGCCTGCTTCTGTTACTGGTAAACACCCTGTTGGAAAGATAAGAAACAACAGACACCTGACTCCCTCATAGAAGCACATGGCAATGATGATGTCATCATACAGGCAACTGACCAACAACACAATAATGTTGCTGACTATGCACAATGTAAGCAATTTTTTTTAAAAAAATGCTCTACTTTCTTTCAGTTAAAATAACTTAGGAGTTGCCTGGAAGAGATAAGCACATTTTCAGATGGAGGTGTGCCTTTCAAGTTGGAACGGTCTTTTAAAATGAGAGATGGTGTAAATGTGAATTAAGAGCCTCTGTGTGGCACACAAATGAGGGCAGAGTAACGCTGCATTTTTGATAATCAAATCGTTTCAGAACATACTCACTCTTTTTCCGATAAAATGTTTCTTGCTGACATCTTTTACTGCCTATTTCGAAATCCCATTTACAAGAATACTAGAAATCTCTGTGGTCACTGCTTCTCCAGCCTAACCCATACCAGATTGCAGGGATGCTCAGCTCCGTGTCTTCCAGCCATTAGTGATTCTTCTCACTGAATAAACTCCTGGTTTCCGTAGTAACTCTTGCCCAGGCACTCCTGCTGCAGTTTCTACCAAGAGGGGTGGTGTTAGGGCCTGCAACTGTGATGTCCTGGAGAGAGACAGCCAATGAGAGGGCAGCTCGAGCCGGGGAGGCGGATCAGCCTCCATCCCAAGGAGGCAGTGGGAAAGCGGTCAGAGAGGAAGGAGGTGATAAGAAGCAGTGCTGGGGTAAGCCAAAGGAAGCTAGACCTCGAAGGGCAGTGCACAAGGAACCTGGCCACAGAGCGCATAACCAGTGGGGTTGACCTTTGGGACACTGACAGAAGGAGTATAGTTTGGGTGCTCAGGGAACTGAGTGAAAAGCTGTTGCTCACAGATTAACCTGTTGGGAAAAGGTCTGGTCATCGTAGCATTGAAGCAAAGGAGCATCATCAGCTGGAGAGAGGTGAAGGTCGGACAACTGGGCTGAAGCTGGACTTTGCAGCCAGGGAGAAGAGGAACTGATTCCCTCTTGGGGTGAAGTGATACAGCAGAGTGTCAAAAACTTCTTTTATTGTGATCGTAAATTACAGTTTATTATTTTCCTAAGCAAGTATTTGATGCTTCTGTGTTATTTATATTGTATTATTATTCATGTATTATTGTTCCTGCCAAATTTCTGGCTTTTCTTTTATAAAATTCTATTATTATTCTCTTTCTTTAAAATTGAAGGTTATCTCCAATGTGTCAGTTTGCCTCTTCCTCTCCCCACAGTTGGCATAGCCTAGCCAAGGCCTGGCTTGCTGCACTTCAACCTAGCCACATCTCAAAACCAGGAGCTTCCTGAATCAAAACTCAACTTTTGATATTAAGACCTCCCTGGTGCCTTCACTGTCCAGATCTTTGGTGTTATCCTTGACTCTGAACTGCCTGCTCTTCTCTTTGCTCCTGCATCTGCAATGAGCCACTACCTCCTCTAAAGAAATGCCAGCGTGCTTTGCTACATTGCCTCTGCTAAAATCCAGTTTGACACACAGCCCATCCCTTTTGAATTATGCCTACCCTGTTTCTCCTTCCCTGCTGGGAAGCACATGCTTTCATAGCAGGCAGTACATGAGTAATAATGTTGCTCACGTGGCAGAGTTCTACTCTCATCTCTAGCACTTAAACTGTACAAAACTTGGAGACATACAACTCCAGAGGAAAGCCTGTAAAAGCCAGAAGAGAGGAAATCGTATTTATTTTTCCCCTCTCTAAAATTGTAGTTAGTTGTTGTACGCACAGTGCCAAAGATTGAGGCCCAGCTGGTATAAAGGGCAAAGCTCATTGCCTTTCGTGGTGAGGTGCCTTTTTACACCAGCTGGAGATCTGGCCCTGGATTCCTCTGTTTGGCCAGAAAACAAACAAGGCCCAGGCAGTCGTATTGCCAGCGTCCTCCCCCTACAACGTCAATGTGCCTCAGCCCAGACTTGGAGCAGGTAAAATGGTGATTTTAGTCTCCTTGCCTATTTAGTCCTTTGCCTCCTAGCTGAGATGGTCACCCAAGGTAATGCTAATCAGTACCTGCTGCGATAAGGGATAGTTCTGAGATGGGATAATACTGTTATCCACTAAGGACTTGTACATCAAGACCAGAGAAAATATTACTATCCATTAAAGATGCCAAAGAAGATGTTTCTAGTAGATTATTAGGAGTGTAAGAAGCTGATTTTTAGATGCTTCTTATGCCAGTTCCAATACTTTTCACCATATGTACAGGTGAGAGGTTATTTATTGCCTTTTGGCCATATTGTATTATAACACTCACAAACAGAGTGACCAAAAGATCAGATTCCAAACTTCACATCTTTGTGATTAACTACAAAGCACATCAGCAGTTTCCATTTTTAAAAAAAGTTACAACACTGAGTTTTCTGGGATCGCAATAATGGTTTAATTCTTTTATATCTCAAGACAAAAGACACTGATTTATAAAACATGCTCTCAGCTTAAGAACTAGATAGTTTGCGATATTGCTGATCCTGGTTAAAGAGCAATTTCCTGAGGTACCATCTGTAAAAGTAAAAGCACATACATGGCCACCATTGCTGTTCAAGGGCCTAATCCTGCACTCACTACCAGACCTGGTGCTTACCACCAAGAGTCATGAGAACTACTCATCATGGTAAACACACCACCTGGCAGTAAGTGTGTGCAGGATCAGGCTCCAGGCTTGCACTTTGGAAGGAAATTTGTCTGAAGTGTTGCTTTAATGGGCAGAACATCCGATGTGGTGAGCTACCACAGATCTACCAGCTGTCTTTAGCATTTGTCTCTGCTGTAATTAGCAGCAGGGGCTGGTGCCCAAAGTGGGTGATGGAGCTGGGGCTGGCAATTAGGTACCATTGCGCTGTACTCCTCCCCACACACAATCACTTCTCCCAAATACAATAATCCACCTGAAGGATTTGGGGCTCTTGCCCTTTGCACAATAGCTTTCTTGCTGCAATTGTACCCCTTCTCCTGAAAATGAGCCAGCAACCCCATGCCCTACCTATGCCCTGCACTTGCTCCCCCTTTCACCTCCCCTCACCAAGTCACAGGCACCCCTTGCTTTCCCTTTACCCTGCCACATGCTACTTCACCAAGACACAGGCCCCCCGGGCCCCAGCTCGCCCTTTTTTCCTTTGTGAGAGACCCCTACCTGCTGCCTCTTTGAAATCCCACATTAGCCAGCCTCTGCCTCACTCCCTCTGCCTCTGCATTCCCCTGCTGAGTCCCCTGGTGCTGCTCCTAAGGTGGGGGAGAAGCTCCAAACTGAGGCTGTTCTGAGACTGAGACTTTTAAGTGCCCTAGTCCCAGAGGAGTAAAAAGACAGTCTTTGAGTATGTGCAGCCGGTGATGAGCTGCCAATACCTTAACAACTGGTTCCCTCCTCACCCCACAAGGGGGTCGTGGCCCACCCCCACCCCCAGGACTCCTGCCCCATCCTACCCCCAGCGTTCCTTGATACTCCCCTTCCTGGGACCCCTGCCCCATCCACCCCCCTCCCCTGCCCCCTGCCTGCCCCCAGAACCAGGCAGGAGGGTCTCGTGGGCCACCGTAGCGCATGCCCACCTCTCCCTGCCCCTAAGACCCAGAGGGACCTGCTGGGGGGCGAGTGGGGAGACCCAGCGGTGCTTACCTGGGGCGGCTCCAGGAAGCATCCGGCAGGGCCCTCTGACTCCTAGGGGTGGGGTAGCGTAGCTGGGGGGGAGCAGGGGGAGTGGCCACTCCCCCACTGATCACATCAAAAGTGGCGCCTTAGGCACCAACTCCATGGGTGCTCCAGGGCTGGAGCACCCATGGGGAGAATTTGGTGGGTGCAGAGCCGCCACCGGCAGCTCTCTGCCCGGCCCCAGCTCACCGCCGCTCTGCCTCTGCCTCCTCCCCTGAACGCGCCACCCCGCTCTGCTTCTTCGACACCCCCCGGCTTCCCATAAATCAGCTGTTCGCATGGGAAGCCTAGGAGGGCTGAGAAGCAGGCAGCAGCTTCGCGCTCAGGCCCAGGGAGGTGGAGGTGGAGGTGAGCTGGGGCAGGGAGCGGTCCCCCTGCGCGGCCCCCCGGGTTACCTGCTGCGGCGTGGGTGGTCCTCCTCGTGCCCCCCATCACCTCCGCTCCACCTCCGCCTCCCTGGGCTTGAGCGCAAAACCACTGCTTGCTTCTCAGCCCTCCCAGGCTTCCTGCGCGAATAGCTGATTCGCGGGAAACCGGGGAAGGGGTGGCAGAGAAGCAGAGCGGGGCGGTGCATCCAGGGGAGGAAGCGGAGGCAGAGCGGAAGTGAGCTGGGGCCGGGGGTGGGGCGGGAAGCTGCCGGTGGGTGCTCTGCACCCACCAAAATTTCCCCGTGGGTGCTCCAGCCACTTTTGGCTGGTTGTTAAATTTAGAAGCCCTTTGAGAATTGGTTGTCCCTCGCGTTCCAGCGAACCGGTGCGAACCGGCTCCAGCTCAGCACTGTGTGCAGCCCTGGGCACTGCACTAGACTTTCAATGGAAGGAGGACACCAGCACGTCTCGCTGCACTCTTCTCAGGGCACTGACGGGGCTAGAACACTGGAGAAAATGTATTTTAAACAGTAAATGCTTCATAAAATGAAGCACCTGTTTGACCTCTCTGAACATACTGGATGCCAACGTCCATCTCTCTCTGGCCCAATGACTAGAGCCCTGCAAATCTGCTGGTATCTGCTTTATATCCACGGACCATTTCTGCAGATAGCAGCACAGATGCGGATACAAATTTTGTATCCTCACTGGGCTCTGACGGTAAGAGCCAGGTGGGCAGCTGTGAGGAACCACAGCATGGCTCCTCCACCTGCCCTGGGAGGGAGTCTGGGGAGCAGGGACACTGGGCTGGGGCTGCCCTTACCCCCGCACACACCTCCTGCACGGGCGGGTGGAGGGTCTGTCGCGGCTCCCACAGCTCCCTAGTTGGGCTCCATGCTGGCCTGGAGCCAGTAAGATCTGGGCAGTCAGCTGTGGGTAGCTGCAGCAAACCCTCCACCTGCCCTGGGTGGGGGGCCTGAGCAGCCCCTAGGCAGATCCACAGGTCTCCTCCCTCCCCCCGGCCAGGCCAGTGTGGAGCCCAACCCGGGAGCCATGGGGAGCTGCAGCAGACCCTCCACCTGCCCCTGGTGCGGAGGGGCTAAGAGCAGCCCCCAGTCATGTCCCCATCCCCAAGCTCCCCACCCGGTTGAGGGCAGGTGGAGGCTCCAGTGGGGGACATGCCTTGGAGCCTCAGGCCAGCCCCCAATGTAGAGCCCTACAAACTCACGGATATCTGCGTCTGCAGATGCAGATATCTGCAGCTAATTTTTGTGGCTTGTGGATTGGATGCGGATACACATTTGTGTATCCATGCAGGACTCTACCAATGACTGTCCTTTTCCCCTGTGCCATTAATTATGCCACATGGAACAGCTTCAACCAGAGAGACTGAGGGATATCAGACTATCCCAGAGCTCAAAGGTTAGAGCATTGTCCTGAGAAGTGGGAGACTCCCTACTCAAAGCCATTTGGCCCCTCTGGCAGAGAGAGGGGAGTTGAACCGGGGTCTTACACATCCCAGGCAAAGGCTCCAACTATTGGGCCATAAGTTAGGCAGCAGTACTACCTGCTCTTCTGGAAGCTAGGTTTTGAATGGGGCCTGCTCTCGTAGGTGTGTGCAGATGCTGTCTGCAGGATCAGGCCCTGCACGTGACGTCGGTGGCCAAACAGTTATCTTCCACCTTGGGTTGCCAACACTGTATTTCAGAAATAAGGGACTGATTTCTTAGCATTCCAGGCTCACTCCGCCTAGTGATATTATTAATTATTATTATTAATAATTAATACTAAGCAGTACTCAACTCATTCACTAGGGGTATTTCTTGCTGCTTTTTGCAGCACTCATTAACTCCCAATCTTGTTGTACAGAGCTGGAAAAAGAAGGGACGTTGGGGATGCTGGAACAATTTGTATAGTTGGGATGCTGAGAGCCATTGAACCAAACTGTAAACCCTGAATATGGTGGAAGCCACTTCAAGCTGGGAGTTCAGCAGCACCCCGAGTTTCAGCACCTATGTAATAAGGGACTGTTGGCAACCCTACGCCAGTTCACAAATTGTTCTAGGGTTAGGTCGGACGAGGGCATCCTGACATCTAGAATGGGGCAGCAGCGTGCATGCCCCAGACTCTGAAATGTAGGAGCCTCAGGAACTTTGACAACAGAAAGTGAGGCACCAAGTGAGTTTAGGGGACCTACAGGGTTAGCGGGCAGCCAAGTGGGAGTTTTGTAGATGGCAGCGGTGCTGTCACAAGGCCTTAAGCACCTAACTCTGAAGTTTAGGCACCTACATGTCTTTGTAGATTGCACCCTGACTGTTTTTAGCCCCCTGGCCAGTTTGGGGGCTTCAGAGAAGCAGGTCCCACAGAGGCAGAGACTGGAACTGAAACAAACTGCCTCTAGAGTGGCCAACATTCTAACTTGTGAAAACTGGACACTGAGCTCCGGAACCTTCCTCAACCCCTGCTCCACCTCTTCCCTCAAGGCCCCGCCCCCTGCTCCACCTCTTCCCTCAAGGCCCCGCCCCCTGCTCCACCTCTTCCCTCAAGGCCCCCGGCTGCTCACTGCTTTCTCCACCTCTCCCCTCCCGCCACCAGCTGAGCAGGGCTCTAGGGGTGGAGGGGTGACTGGGGCAGGACCTGGGAGGGAGAGCCTTGCTCTGGAGATTGGGGGTGACTGAGGTGGGGAGGGGATGGCACCCCAGGGGCAGGGCACAAAGGAGGATGAGGAGGGGGCCCCTGTAGTGAGTCCGGCCACCAACCCAGTTCCTCAAATGCTGCGTGCTTCAGGATCCCTCCCCCCAAGCGCCGGCCACTGAGACTGCTCTCTGCCGGAGGCGGGCAGTTCCTGAGAGCTCCTCCAGTTCCAGCAGCAGCTGCTCTTCCTGCCCTCCCGGTGGCAGAACAGAAGTGTGGATGGTTACTCAGGGAACTGGACTTTCCGGTCAAAAATCAGAAACTTGGCAACCTGAACTGCCTCCCATATCTGTGCTTGAGGGTCACACACAGGCTTTTAAGGGACCAGGAGCCTGTGAGAAATGTGAGCAGTGCCAGGACAGACACTGTGTTTGGGAGGAGGCGTTACCAGGCCAGAGCCTGATTGGCATGCCTGGGCAACTAGGAGAGCCTGCGCAGGGCTCAGACGTGAGCTGAGCCTGAGAGGGCTCAATGGGGTGGAGAGAGCTGGCAGCAGGAATCTGGGTTAGAGCAGCTGGAGGGGATGCAGCTTCTCATTTGTTCTCTGCCACAGAATATCTGAGACTCCATTTTGTGTTGTCTCCCCTGATCTGCAGAGGTGCCTGCCTGCCAGCAGCACATTCTAGGCCTCCCCTGCACTGGAAGTCTGGGGAAGGACTAGCTGTCAGCCTCCCAGCAAGGGACACCACCCCTTCTCATTGAGCTCCAACTCTGCCATCCTTGGCAATCGGGGCACTGCAGGAGCGGGCTGCATTTGGAGGCACTGCTGGGATAGCACCCAGGAGCCACTGGACCTAAGGTCAGGGCCGGTGCAAGGATATTTTGCACCCTAGGTGAAACTTCCACCTTGCCCCCCCCACACACACATTGGTTCATTGAGGGGCAAATCTCAACAAGCCTTTATAGACCCCAGAGGCTGGCTGTGCCCAGGGGCTGCTCCCCAGACCAGGTTCCCCCCTCCCCGCCCCCTGAACTCCCCTGGAGGGTGCACAGCCCCCCCGCAAGCCCTTCCCACTCCACCCCGGCGGCCCCCACCCAAGTCCACTCACTGGCTTTGCCGGGCTTGGGCCGCTGCAGCAGCTCGGCAGCTTGGAGCCGCCTTCCGGAGGCACCAGAGAGCCAGAGCATTCCACTTGCGGCGGCGGCGAGCCCCAGCCATGGAGGAGCCAGTGTGGTGAGGGGGACAGCAGCCCTGCAAAGGCAGTGGCACCGCTTTTTGGCCCCCCCCGAACGACTTGGCGCCCTAGGCGATCGCCCAGGCCCTGCCTAAGGTGGGTCACTAAGTATCTGAGAAGGGCAGAGTAAGGGGGTCCCACCCTTGGAGACGGGGTGCCTCAGGAGGGGGCTATATACAAATACCTGGCCAGACAGATACGTTGCAGTTGGAGAGTTACTGCATGTTACTCTTTTTTAAACAAAACCAAATATTATTTTATCCTTGAAGTCAATGGGAGATTTTTTTTGACTAAGGAGGTCAGGCTTGAAGTCAATCTGATGTGAAGTAATGTGTGATGCTGGCTAACCAGGTGCCAGCTCATGCCAAGATCCCCATGTCTCAACTGAACACTGACAAATACAGAGCTGGAACCAGTCTGGCTCACCTGTGTGTTAGTATTATTAAAATAAGTATTAGGATTATAAGAATGTGTTTAGCCTTTATTGAAGGCTTTGGAGTTGCTGCAAGCATTAATCACACTTATAACATCTGCAGCCCATATTGTGTTTTAAGCATTTGTGTTGTGAGTCTCTGATTGTCACTCTCCAGACAGGAGAGAGAGAGAGAAATTTTGCCACTTTAATAAAGGGAAACTTGTCCATCCATATTAACCAGAATTTCCCGTCTCCTTCATGCTAAGGGGGATCTAATTGAAGTAAGGACATTAAGCTGTTTACTTAGATTGTAAGGTCTTCTGGGCATGATCTATCTTTCTGTTATGTGTTTGCAGTGTGCCCCGATCTTTGATTGAGAGCTCTAGTCACTAGTGCAATATAAATAATAATACTAAATCTCCCTGTCACCTCTGGGTTTTCAGTTCACGACTCATTTACTTTAGTGTCAGCCCAGTAGCGTTCATGTTATGGATATTGAGCCTTAAAAATTTTTTTTTAAGTTCTCCAAGGTACTAAGAGGCTTGAAAAATAATGTGCTAAAACACATAAAAATAAATCAAATTAAGGAGAGCTCTTGGATTGAGCCAAGAGCTGAATACTCCTAATCGCCACATTGCAGTGATGCGTCATTCTGGGAGTGATTTTGTTGGTGAGGTTTATTATAATCATGTTGCTGCCAGCGCTGTGCTATCTGCAGGTAATTGCTGGAGTGTGTTTATTTAAGGAGATGTATTAAGATGTCAGTGGCGCCCCGGGCATGAGATGGTGTGGTATAAATCTAACTAAAATATTTTTACAATGAGTTTTCATGAAGTTATTTACCTAAAAAGCAACACACCAAAATAAAAGCAACAGCACAAAGACATCCTTTTTTTATATCTAAATCTTTATTAGAACAAATCCCAAGAGCTGTAAAACAATAAGTAACAACAAATTTCATTAAATATTAAACATTTTAGTTATCAAAGATATTTAAACAATACATTCCCAATATTTCTGCACAGCAGAAGCAAACAGGTTTTAGAGCTCAGACTGTCATGTGCTCACATTAGTTTGGTTTTGGCAGGAAAATGATACAATCTCTAAAAGTCACATTAAAATGAAAAATGTGATAAGTGAAAATGACAGTTACTTCTCTCTCATGTCTCATCCTTTAAATTGCCTTTTTGTGATTTTACATGTACTTATTTGAGATAAATGCTTATGGACTCTTCTGTAACATATAGTAACAGACAATCAGTTTTTATATTAATAGTGCTAGTAATCTTAAACATGAAGCAGTTATATTCCAATAATCTGTATCAAAAGTTAGAAAATTAAGGGTCATTTATAAAACACTTCCAGAATAGTAAATAAGCAGTCTTAAAATGAAGCATCTACTTTACATTTGGGAACATAAAAATACATAAATAACATTGGTATAGCAGATATCTACTAACTTCCCTTTTCATTCTGTTTTAAATACCAAGGGCCCAATTCTACCCTCAATTATCTAAATACAATGGGCTATCTCTGAAGCTGAAGACAAAATAGGGCTCCATTTAGAGTTCAGCACCCTTTAAATTAGATTTAGAAAAGTTTACTAAAGCAAACCAAACAGCCTTAGATGATTTTCTTTTTGTAACAAAACCATTCTCTTTTACTTTCTTTTTTGGAGCATAAAATACTCATGATCTGACAACAGTAATAGGGAAATTGTGCATGCTGCAGTATTTAGCAAAAAGTGTCAAATGTATTTAAAATGCAGTTGATTTTATACCACTTCATTTCAACTAAGCTGAGTCTTGTTTTTCCTATCTAGCAATTCTATTTTGTGGTTTAAATTATGTGTGTAAACTTTAAAATATAAGCTGGGTAATAATAATAGCCAGTAAGGCACTTTTGTCATAGAGGACACAGTTTTACAGGCTGGGTGAGTGGCAATAGTTTAAAGACCGAAGCTCTATACTACAATACAGAGACAATCTGTTAAATCTAATAGTTTTTATGATCATTTATTTTTAGAAGGATATTTAAAGACCCTCTTTTTAGAATAAGCTTAATATGATGATTTCTGAAATCTTTTTACTGTCCTATACCAGAATATTCAACAGGAAAACATTTCATATTTTAAATGCTTATATTTAAAAGAATACTCAACATCTTCAAAACATCCAAGCCATAGAATTAAAAGCTAAATACAACTTGAAAAAGAAACAAATCTCAGTATAAAAATGTTCACATCTTGGGTTTTATGTTTTTTAAACAGTTTCCTTACCAATTCTGATGGCTTTTCATAGAAGCTTTGGTATAAAACATGCAAATAAAAGCCAACAATTAATCTGTGTTGGGAAGACAATGCATCAAACCAGGACTAAATCAAACATGATTGGGTGGTTACAACATTGGGTATTTTCTAATGTCTCTTGGTTTCTACATTCTGCTTGTTCAAAATCTTCAACAGAGATTTATTCATATAATAGGGTCTTTCTGCAGAGCCATCATGTCTTTCTAAATCTTCCACTAGGAGGAAGAATGGCACAAGTTAAATGATCAAAGCAGTACAATAAGAAAAGTAATAGCACCACCTGCTGAACTCTTAATGTACAACGGCTCTCTTAGCTTTCTAGGTTTATTTCAATACTTGACATTTTGGCATTTCTTATACTGTAAACAGTTGGAATAATAATCAACCTTTTGTCACTATATGGGCCTGTCTCTACCCTTTGAAATCAATGGGAATTTTGCCACTGACTTCAGTGGTGTAGGATCAAAACCTATATAATAAACAATCTTAATATACCATACTTAGCCCAATATTCCACTTCCCTAAAGTGAGGAAGTACATAGTAATTAAGTTTTATCTTCATGTTAAAGCAAACAGAGTAAAGAGCCAAATTCACTGGGATTGTGTAGGTTGTAAATTGGCAGAATTTGGCCCAAAGGATTAGTTAGGAATTATTATAATAATCAGGCTTAACCATTCTTAAAAAATAAAAGTATGATTTAATTTGCAAATTAATATTTGTATTAATTTCTGCCTACATTATTCCAAAATATTCAGTTCTCTTTTACCAATTTTAATTTTAAATAATTTTTAAAAGTATTTCAGCTGATTGACTGACTGCAGAATTTAAGCGATATTGCTTTGCATTTTCACAGTTCTCTTAAGTGTTTCATTTTAAAAAAATGGCTTTTAAATGCTCTTCTCAGAAACATTGTTCATTTATAGTCTAAATTAATTCTCACAAAATAGTAATGAATGGAGGAACTTTATATATATATCTATGGTATATAAACAATCAATTCAGTTTAAAACTTTTAGAAATTCTTCTAGCAAATGCATAGGTTTATTAAAAAACTTCTAATCATAGGACTATTACTACTATTTCTATTATGTCATATTAAACTCTATGGTTACATTCATATGGCAAAAAGCACATTGTACACAGAAATATGCTTTTCAGTAGAGCATCCAGTAAAACCCTTCAATCCACTGCAGAACTATAGATGGCTCTGCTCAGTCTTTCTAGGTGCAAATTAATGAACTAATTACAGTACCATCCTATATTTCATTGGGGCCTGATCCAGAATAGCAGATTAGCAGACTTTTAGGTGATGGAATGACTGCACACAGCCCAAACAGTTCATTCTAGCCTAAATTTTCAAAAGAGACTTGCATTTTTGCTTCTGAGTTTTTCAATACCCAATTGGAGAAGCCTTGTAAAAGAGCCTGGTTTTCAAAGGGTGGGTGTTCACCACTTTCTGAAAGCCAGGCTCCTTTAAAGTGTCTCAAGATGGACACTCAAAAATCAAGGCCGTAAAACCGCTAGTCACTTTTGAAAGCATAGGCCATGTGATCAAGATCCTTCCATTTTCCAGGAGTTACTCCAAACATATGGGTGGAATAACTCACCTACAGTAAACTGATTCAACCTATGGCCAGTATTAATAAACAAAATTACTTAGGCATCATGGGAACTTCCTACTCCCCTCCATTCACCGAAGTGCAGGATTAATCTCTGTTGTATTATACCAACCCTTGTTTCTTGGTTGACCTTGGGAATGGAGCTGTCCTCCAGAAAGCAAAGTATGGGCTCTTAAAAATTCTTTCCCATGTGACTGAACCTTCAGCCAATGGAAAGGAACCTGCCCGTGTTCTGATGCTGAGGTTCTCACTGAGCTCCAGGAGAGCTCAATTTCTGTAATATCAACAAAGCTGGATGATGTTGCCGCTTCTACTCTTGTTAAGTGGACTGCCATGGAATACTTAATTCAAAATTCTATAGCCCATGAAGGCTAGAATGTAGCCTCACTGGCTTTGGATCCTCGTGGGACGCTGGCCCACTGGGCCCCCTTAAACTTTAGAACAATTATTCTACATTAGTATTTAAATAGGTTAAAGTATTTTTAGCCCAATTCAGAAAAGTAACATCACCTTGAAAGGTAACCCATTCCTCCTATTTACAGTAATCATGTATTCTTTGTATTATTCTTCATAATCCTCAGATAAAACATAGGGCTGATCCTGTGAGCCCTGCACAAGTGGAACTGTCATTGACTTCAGCGGTAGTTCCATGCACTGAAGGCTTGCAGAATTGGGGTTTTAGGGCTTGCCTACACAGCACCAGATGGGTGTGGTTTATAAAACCCTCTAATGTGGTACACTCTAACTGCCCTGTGTAGACCCTGCTGGCGTGCTCTAAAAGGTAAAGTTTCCCTTAACATAGTCCTTTTAGAGTGCATCAGGGTCTACACAGGGCAGTTAGGGTGCAACACATTAAAACGCTTTACAAATCACACCCCTCTAGTGCGCTTTGCTGGCACCATGTAGACAAGCCCTTAGTGTAATACTAACATGTATTACACCAATAGTATAAAGCTACTACTAGCCTTTGCATTTATAACCATGCAATTTTAATGATTTAAACATACACCAAACATTATGGGCCTGACTCCTTGGTCTAAATGGTTAGTGCTCTGCTTTACCAGGTGAGAGACTCCGATTTTATTTCTAGCCCTGGCCACTTACTCATGGGCTAACAGGAGCTGAGAGTCCCACAGAGACAATGCATTCAGCCCATGGAAGGAGGGAGGAAGCCCATCTAGGATGGACACAGGAAATAAGAATTCCTTGGCGCTTCTAGAGGGCCATGAAGACCTGCCTCCAAGGAAAATGGATACATTTCAGTTTTTCCTTTCCATACTTCAGGTGGAGCTCAACCTCAACATCATGTAGAATAAAATCACAGAACCCATTAGGGACAGGGGATACTAATACAAGGGCATCTCCCATTCACATCAGCTGAGAGCTATACATTTTTCATCTTGCACCAGATGGAAATAGAAAGTTTGTGGTTCCCACAAACCATGTTCTTCAAGTACAGTGGAACGCTCCTTCAATGGAGGTTAATGTTTAACCCAAATTCTGTTCTAAAAGGAGTTTTGTTATAAGAGATTTCACAAAAAAGAAGTTTTAGCTGTAGTCTACTCTGGCTACCTTCTTTGAGACTGAACCTGGGTGATACCCTCTCTCATTTATTAACATATACAATTTGTAATGGAGGTGATCTAAAGATCTATGTAGGGAACTATTAGTACATATATAATCACAGTTTAAAAAGCTGTCAACCAGCTTGTACAGTAAAAATACAACCATAGCACCATATTTACAAATTTAGTACCATCTGCTGGTTCGCTGGAGTCTCTTGATCTATTTTTATGGCTGATTAGGTTATAGTGTAGTGCTTTCAAAAATTGCCTGAATATCGTTTATAAAGATACACTTATAAAAAAGAAATGTTATCAAAACAGCTGTCATTTGAAACAGCAAGCTGTGTTACAAAAGTTATTAAAACACCATTAGCTATGGATAAAAAATGCTTCAAATTTATATTTTCCTTTTTCATAGGCACTCTATAAACTAAAATGTGGCCTTGTTTCACAGCTCTTAGTTTAAGCATTTCCCTATCTAGTTAGATGTTACCAAATTGCTAATTGATTTTAGATACAAGCAAAAAGAAAAAGAATCACCCATCAACCAGAAGCATCATTTACAGTTTTAACTTTTGCCTAGTTTATAAACATTCCACTTAAAAGTGACATTGTTTTGATTTTCAGCAATTTTTTAAAGTTATCCCATTGCCTTCTTAGGGCTTAGTTCCTTCTTTCCCAGAATTCGGTGCAGGCTAGCTGACATGTAGTACGGTTTTGCTGTGGATCCATCATTTCTTTCCAAATCTTCACCTGAATTTGCATCAGCAAAAGCAGCCAAAGCAGCAAGCAGCAGTGCAATTAAACAAAAAATGAACAAACAAACATAAAAGGGTAAAGAATTGAACAAGGGGAAAAGCAGAAAAACCAACGTTAGAAAATCTGATACCCGACAATTTAGCTGCACTGTTAAGTTGCTGGTGGACACTGGAAAAGCACCAAGTTCCACTTTTTTCCAAATCAGAGGAGGTTTTACATCAAAACAGACAAACGTCAGTGGAGGGCTACACTGACATTCTAAAGTTATGCACATCAATCCTTTTAATTCTTCCAGTTCTTTTGTTTAAAAATTGCACTGGAATTTTCAGAAGGGCTCAGCACACACAACTAGGGCCAGAACAGCCTGGTATTGTGGGTGTTTAGTTTTTGAAAATCTGGCCAAAAGTGTCATACAGGAAACTGCTGGGTTTTCAGCATTTTCGAAAATCTGTCCCTAAAAGGAAGCAGAGCTCTTTTGAAAATCTGACCCCATGAGTGCACAATGTTCTGCTCCCATAATACACAGCTGTACATGACATGGGAAGCAGAGTGGAATGTAAGTTTTGAATAATGGCATGGAGACTCAAGAGTTTTACCACACGAGGAAAGAAACTTACAAGAAAATATTACTTTTCCCATTAATTTTAATGCATTTCGCTTCTACCTTCCCTCTCCCCTAAAAGAGACAGTCAAACAGTGAATGAACTGGTGAAAACTAGGAGATATCTTCAGAGCTGTGACATGAGTTACTGATGATTATTAATATTATACCTCAGATTATAAAAGAATGAATGATTTGTATTCTTCTAAAGAATGCTCAAGACTGAAATGATTTGCTATGCCTCAATTGCACCAATAAACTGTAATATTTTGCGTGTGTACAAGGACCTTTTCATGCAAGGATCCCAAAGCAGTTTGCAAAGAGAGAGTAACATTTACTGATAGGGAAAATGAGACCTTGAGCCTTGTGATCTGCATGGGGCTGCTTGTGTAGATCATTTTGCAGGATTCAGGCTAAATGTCACACAATGAGTCAGTGGCACAGCTCAAAATAAAAAAACGCATGTCTCCTGACACCTAATTCCCTACTCCAAGACAAACTGCCAGTGCATCTAAGTCTTGTGATCAAATGGAGAAGGAAACTGATTGATTCTTGTGAGCCTCTAAACTCCTCCCCTCTGATTCCTCTCTCACATCAGTGGATTACTCCTGATTTACACCGCTGTGAAAGGAGAAACAGGCCCATTGCAATAAATAAATACATATGGTTATTAAAGGTGGTAGGAGGAGGTAAGAAAATGGTTTTGATTTACTTTATTCTGTGTCACCCCCCGCATGCCAGTGTGCTCCAATTCCTGTGTCACTGCTGTTCTGGCCTGTTCCAAGGGAACAGAGGCTCCAGGCAGCAAGGGCTGAGCTTGGGGTCCACTTCACTGCTTTGCTTCTAACAATGGGGCTAGATTTCAGAGGAGTTAGAGAATTTACCCAAATGGAGGTGGGGGAGGAGATTAAGCCCTTAGTCATGCTTACCCGCCTCAAGGTCCCACTGCCACAATATGCACTTAGGAATCCTTGGCCATAGGGACTATTAGACTAGTTAGCAGGGTCAAATAATGCAGCCAGATGCAATGTTGACCAGTGCAATATACTCCTGCTCTGACCTGCCAGGACTGCTCCCATTATAGTAGAATCCAATCTTTTATGTTTTAAATTTTATTAAGTCTGGCAAAAGGAATGAGTTCCCTTTAGCGAGCACACCTTGTTCTTATAATTAGGGTCTAAACTGAGACCAATTGATTTCTCTGGTAAATTGAGCATTCTCTGAACAAGAAGTCAAACATGCCCCTAAACTGCCTTCCTTTCAAGAGTCAGCAGCTGTTTGTTATGGGGTCACAAGGGACTGACAGTTTTAAAATGGTATTTTAAGGTAATTTCATGTTACGTCAGCATGAAGCTTTTGTTGTGGTTATTAGTATGAAACCACAAGGACAATGAGGTTATCAGCGACATAAAGCATTTGCTGGAGGAGAACACCTGAGTGCAAAGCCCAGTGGCATTAGTAAGATGTGTGAGTGAATTGTCGCTGGACACATCTAGTTACAAAACACCCAGAAGCAAAGTGTTAGTAAAAATTAGGAAACATTTAATAAACAAAAAGCCAGAGACCCCAGTGAGCCCCAGATATACTTCACTAGCTTGGCAAATAGCCTAATGAAGGCATATCTGATCACTGAGCTTTACAATCCCCTTGGTAGTAAAATTAAACCGCTTGTATTAAGAATAGCAGCAATTCCTTATTCCCACAATATGCCAGCATGTCACGTGAATTCTGTAAGGAAACAGACAAGATAGCTCTTTCCCTGCATGTCATCAGAAGAAAAGTGTCAATGAAAGAGGACTCAGTACTTACAAAAGCAGAGGAAAAGTGTATCAACACACATTGCATAGACACTGAAGAACCCATGTGCAATTAGGTAAGAGCCAATAATGACAGTCTGCAAAAAAACCCAAACACATACATTTGACACCATCATGGCAACATCACCTCAAAAAACAAGAACAAACAAGAACTTAGTCTGTTAAACCAGCAGGAAAGGATTTATTTACAGTTCCATAATTCTGCAGTAGTCTTGCTGCTGAGGCAAAAGATCACAGATTAAAGTCACCGTGTGATGACATACATCTGTTACCAATTTCTAAGATGGCAACTTGGAATCATGTTGTTCCCAGTGCAGGAAAACCCACAAAAGGGCTAAGAAACTCTGTTTCAGTTCATGGAGTTCTCTCAGATTGCCCATTCAAGAAAGAGGGCCCACCACCCAACCTGCAGATATCCCAAGATCTATGAGGGAATCCACAAGGAAATCATTTACATAGGAGCCAAGTGCCTTCTCTTTGCTCTGTAGACCTCCTCCCTTAGGAAGACCATTGGTTCCCCATCGTCTACCCCAGTGCTGTTTGTGGAGGTTTGTGCAGAGCTGACCTGGAACCTAACTCTCCTGCACACAGAAGGTACAAAGTCCCTTGAGGCTCACTGCAGCACCATAATGGTACAAAGCTACCTGAACTGAGTCAGGGAGGGAAGGAGTTTGGCAGAGCTGGCTAGCCACAGGAGAGGATGCTGCGCCCATTGACAGGAAGGTGGAGTTGCTGTTGCCAGTGCTCCCCAAGAACTGACCCAGAGCTGCCCCTCAAAACTCCCCCAGCATCCTAAGAATGTAAACCGCATCCTTACCAAGAGGGGTACCCAGTAGTAATTTAATGTTGGTGTTTCTTGTGTGAACACTGGTATTCGGTGTGTGAAGAAAAAGAAGGCTAGGACACCTGTAAGAAGCACAGGGTACAGGCCATTAGTTATTCACACGAGTATCTGGGACTTCCACACTCATGAGGAATGGGTAAGACAGGCACAGCTGAAAACACACTCAGGCATCGTTTACACAAGAGGCTTTGAGCAATAAATCTCTAGATATTAATTATCCCTAGGATCTGTATTCTGACTAGAACAGAAATGGCATATAAATGCATCATCATAAAGATACTTGTGGGGCCAGAAAGACTTGAATCAATTGTTTTATTTCATGAGTCAGACTGGGTTTTATATCAAAACTAATAAATAAGAATATACGATACAATCAAATGCATGATAATAAAAAAGACCATCAGACTGATCTTGAAAAAAATAAATTAAAAGACATAAGTGAACAAAAGCCTGTGGCTTTAGCTTTCACCCCTTGGAGGAATATTTAACTATTTGAGATTAAAAATAGAAATGGCATAGCTACTGATAAATATACTTAATGATAAATCTAGAGCTACATACATTAATTCATCATCATATCTGTACCACACAGAACAGAAAAGACACGTTAATGAATTATCCTACAGAATGTATCCTTAAGGAGGAGGAAAACATGAATCAATTTAGCATTTCATGGCTCACATTTCAGAGACAGTTTCAAATCACATTTGCCTTCCCATTTTGAAAGTCAGTCTACAGTAATGACAAAAACATTACAGATTTGGTCTCAGTTCTAATTTTCATCTTCTGGTAAAAAAATAATCCATTTAGGAATTTTTTTAAAAATACACAAAATATAAAAGATGGGCATCAATGAAATCATGTTTTGAAACTCTTGTGACAGTTTAAAAGGCCTGAAGGGGACACCGTCAACTTGAATTTTTAAAATGGACCAATTTAAAAAAAATGGTTTTCTGCTGCAGCACACTGAACAGTATATCCAGACTTTTATTAGTATGAAAGGAAAAACTGTAAAAATGTTAGGTTTTGTCTGCTCCCCTGCTTGTGTTTGGAAGGGTCTTTTGGACAGGCCTGAGTGCAACACCACAAAAGATGCTCAGGCCCACCTTGTCTCTCCTCCACTCCTCTTTCTCTCTGTGCATGCTGCTTGCTGACAGTTTGGTTTCAGTTACAGTGCTGCTGATAAATACCCTCTTGCATGATCTGGGGAAGGATGTGCACCTGTAACACACTGGGGATGGTACATTACAGGTTCCCCTCTCTGCCAGATCCACAGAGGATATGAGTCTGTTACAGTCCAAGGCAAACAACTTTAGTTCAAGGTGTAGAGACTTATGTTTTTAATTCTGGAGGTTCCCCAGTTCAATCCCCAGTGTGTCAACTAAGATGGCAGCCATCACACACCCGCACAAGAACAGTGGAAGTGACTACAAAAAATACTGTCAAATGCACAAAGTGAGATGAAAAAAAGAGAGGGAAAACATGCTTCTTTGGGCTCAATCCTGTAATTCTTTGTTCAAGTGATTAGTGCTTATGGTATCAAGGTTTGCAAGAGCAAGTCCGTGATGTGTTGTCTGAACACACAAGTTTAGCATATTCCAGGCTAGTAGGGAATAAGAATCAACGTTACATTGAAATAACTGACTTACCTACACCACCAGCAACGAGAAGTTTCCCAAGGAACAACAAGAAATCTGTAACTTTGTCCAGCACCGCAACTCTATTCAACAGAGGACAAACGGTGTTTGAGCACCTCAAAACAGAACATCTCTAGTCTTTTCATATTCCATGAAATCCATGGAAAGTTGATGAAACTGGCTCAGAAAGGTCATTGTCTTGCACTGGTCCTTGGGCCAACAATATAACAATGCAAAAAATCAATATGGAGACAATACAGGAGGGTAGCATTTTAAATGCCAGTCTTTTGAGGGGCTAAGGACCTTTGACTCCTAACAAAATCAATGAGAGGTGAGAGCATTCAGCACATTGCTGAACAGGGCCACGCTACAGCAACTGCTGACAGCACTTGAAAGCTATTAATTGGGTGTTGCTCTTGTTAATAAAGACATTAGCATATTTCTCTATTTCAGCCTTTTCTTCAAAGCAGGATCATGGGCAGGCCAGCCCTAGCAGAAGGTGAACTGAGCACCAAAACGTAGGAAACCCAGCATTTTTATGTGCTGTCAGTAAACTTTTGTCCATTTTATTCAGTCCTTGCTAGCCACATTGTCTCTGCTTTCAGAATGCACTGAAACCTCAAGGCTTTGTTGAGGTGTCTCAGCACAGCAGAGCAGGGCAATCTCAAAGCAGGGAATCAGCCCCAGGTGAATGAATGTAAGGAGTCAGAAAAATTGACAGTAAGTCTGTATTGCTCAGTCTTCCTTGTAATCAGACTGAAAACAACAGGAAGGAAAGGAGGCCAGAATCGGGGCTTATTGCAGGGAGCCTCTGATCAAAATCCTGCCTGACTCATTGCATGGAAATGAGACTGGTATTGCAAGACACTTAACAACAATGAAGGCGATGTATATGGTAATGTAATGTACCAGCATGAAATCAACAATCAACAACCAAATTAAAGAAAACAAACCACATTAGCCTGTCAGAGTTAGGAATTAGAACTAGAATATACAGAGTAGAAAATCCTATTTCAAAACAATACAAGATTTGCCTGGCTCCTAGCTATTGCTCTTGGTGATTAAGAGCAGTAGCATAAGGGACAGGAGTGGAAGCAATAGCTAGGGCTATGATTTTGTCATGGAGGTCATGGTAATCATGAATTTGAGTAAAGTCTATGAAATCTTGGAAATAGCTGTAAAAACATATTTGATTAGGCCCCAAATCGAGTAGTGTTGCAACCTGGTGTACTGTGTCACAGTACCAATCAGGTCTGGCCCATCTGCCTTCATCTACAGATGGGCGGACAGGCCAAACATAAGCAGTGCTGTGATCCCATGTGCCAGGTTGTAATGCCCAGGTCAGGGAGCTGGGCCCAGCTCTGCAGGACAAGAGCTGCTGCTGCAGGGTGAGTACAAGGCAGGCTCACTCTCCAAACTCCCCCTGAGACACATACCTCTGGGACTACCTTTCAGCATCCCCCACTATACTCTTGTGAAAAATATGTTAGTTCTCTGATCTGATCTCAGATCGCTGTAATGAAATTTACTAGAGACAAGGTGGGTAAGGTAATATCTTTTATTGCACCAACTTCTGTTGGTGAAAGAGACAAGCTTTCGAGCTACAGGCCTGGTCTACACTACATAGTTAGGCTGACATAAGCCACCTTGCATTGACCTAGTTGTGCATGTGTCTACATTTAAATTGGTCTCCCACTGATCTAAGTGGCTTGTTACAGCAATGGGCAGTGTTGAGCCATGGTCGATGTATGGAGGTCGATGCAGTGAGAATGTTACTTATGGCAAACTAACAGACCTCCAGCAGCCTTCCCACAATGCAAGACACGGACTGCTCTGGTCACAATTGATAGTTCCTCTGCCCAGGGTCATTGAGACCAGAAGGTCCCCTTCCCCTTTTAAGCCCTCCACATTTTTGAAATGCCTTTTCCTGATTATCCAACTTGGTGAGCACACTTAGCAGTTCTCCATTGTTGTGTGCAACTGCCCAGCTGGCCATGCTGGCTACACACTCCAGATGCGCTCTGGCTTGGAGTAGACAGGAGATATTGGATCTCCTGGTCTGTGGGAAGAAGATGCTGTGCAAGCACAACTATGGACCAGCCACAGAAACATGGACATCTGTGAGCAGATTGCTCAGGGGATGCAGGAGAAGGGGTACAACAGTGATCAGATGCAGTACTGTGTGAAAGCAAAGGAACTGCAACAGGCATATCATAAGGCCAGGAAGACAAACTGTCAATCTGGTGCTGAGCCGCAGACCTGCCATTTTGCCAAATAGATGCATGCTGCACTTGGCAAAGACCCCACTACCACCCTGCAGAACACCTTGTGGATACTTTTAAGGAGCCCAAGTCACGGGATCCTGGTGTGAACAGTGAAAAGGAGATGGAGGAGGATGGGGGACATGTGACCAGGAGGTCCAGCTATGCCACAAGCCAGGACCTGTCTGAGACTCCACCCATCCAGTCAGTCCTGGCAGTTGAGCATGGACGAGCCCAATGCAGGGGAAATAACCTCAGGTAAGTGTGTAATTGTATATCCCATTACAACAACGTACTGATATCTCTGCCCAACTTAACAAGGCACAGCTACTGACTTTTCATTAACATACTTGTACTAGAAGAGGTAGTGGTACAACAAAGATAAGTAGAGTTACCTGGTGTTCATTCCCCTGCAGAGTTAGGCAAGGGGGGGTCATGCGGGTCAGTTTGTTTATGTACACAGAGATGTCCTTTGAATCCTCCTGAGACATCTCCATGAAACTTTCATGGAGCTACCCTGCAATCCTCTCCCGAAGGTTTCTAGGTACGGCTGCCCTCAGCAATAACTTCAGCAGGCACCACTGCAGTATACAGGCTAGCAGCATATGGGCCCGGGCAGCTTTGGGACACCATCAGCAGCTGTGTTCTTTCTGCCTTTGTTACCCTCAGGAGTGAGATATCAGATAAAATCACCACTGCCTGTGGAAAACAGTGCCAGTATTCAGTGCTAGTGCCCTATACAGAAAGTTTCATGCAACCGAGCAATTTCCTCCTCATTTCCCTCAACCTTGTGGGCCTTACTCACTGCGGCCAGTGCTGTGAGTGGTGCCGTGTACAAGTTCTCTAAAGCAGAAGTGTACATAAGCATGTCTTGTTTAAAACTGTAGGGGAGCAAGGAAAGGGGGAAGTTCTGAATCTTAACTTTCAGTTTTCATTGTGACTATATTGACAATGGTACCTCTGTCTGTTTTGTCTCCAGCTACTGCTGTTGTGGTCTTGAGGGGTTTCCCCCTCCACATCCACATCCACGGAATGCCTGAGCCACTTACAGAGGAGAAAGAAGAGGCTAGGCATGACATGTTCAGTGAGATCCTATTAGTCAGTGCTGAATCATATCATGAGCAAAGGGCCTGGAAGATAAACATTGCAGACAACCTGGAGAAGGAAAGAGCATACAGGGTTTTGGCCCAGAAGTCCCAGCAGAGGGCGATTCACCAGGACATAATGGGACTTCTCCAGACGCTACAGACTCAACAATCACAGGGTCACCTCCCTTTGCAGTCCATAGAGAACTCCATTACGGCATCTCCCTATACCCCCCTCAACATTCCAGGTGGTATCAGGGGACATATCCCTACCCCTCCCACTTCACTCTAGGGACATTAAGGACAACCACAGTTTCACATACACTCACCTGTGAAATCCACAGTTGCAGTATGTGTAGGTAAAATGAACAGGAATGTTTTTTCCCCTTGTTAAGTTCTGATCCATTAATTTATTAAGTTCTTAATGTATTTGCTGTTAGATTACACAGATTTTTCTTTGCACTAGTTTTGTTACTGAACAAAACTGGAAAATAATTCATCTTTATTAGCTCACAGCGTATGCTGCAGAGTGCCTAGCTGTTCTGAAAGCAGCCACTTGTTGCTGTACAGTGTGACACAATTCATAGGACCAGTGACAAACACAGGGTAATAATAATCACAAATGTACACTGTAAAATTAATAGGTGCAGTGACAATGTTATATTCGTAGATGTGCACCAAGCACCACACAATTCCTAACAGGCCTCAAAACATCAGGGCCAGGCAGAGCACAATACACCACAACACATAATTGTGGCTCGCTGTTAAAGTGCTCTTCCAAAGCTTCCCTGAGCCCTATAGCTCCATGTTGAGCTTTTCTAATAGCTCTTGTGTCTGGCTGTTCAAACTCAGCAGACAGCTGCTCCACCTCTGCCCACCACCCTGGTGACAACTTTTCCCCTTCACAGGTATTATTTAGGACACAGCAGGCAGCTGTAACCACTGGGATGGGTTTTTCCCCACTGTGATTCAATATTATGAGTAAATAATGCCAGCGTCCTTTCAATCTACCAAAAGCGCATTCTACTGTCATTCTACACCTGCCGAGAGAGTAGTTGAATCTTTCCTTGGTGCTATCAAGGTGAGCCAAGGGAGCAAGGGGTAGGCTGGGTACCCCAGGATCACTACTAGTATTTCAACATTGCCAATGGCAATCTGCTGGTCAGGAGAGAAAGTCCCTGCTTCTAGCTTTCTGAACAGTCCTGTGCTCTGAAAGATGCTAGTGTCATGGATCTTCCCTGATCAGCCAACACGGATGTCGGTGAGGCATCCCTGATGATCCACCAGGGCTTGCATAACCATAGAAAAGTAGCCCTTTCTGCTGATGTACTCTGTGGCAAGGTGGTCCAGTGCCAAAATAGGGACATGCGTGGCATCTGTCGCTCCACTGCAGTTCAGGAACCCCTTTGCTGCAGATCCATCCACTATGTCCTCCAGCACACTGCCAGGAGGAGACGATTAATGGCCCTGCACACTTGCATGACCATGTCCCCCATGATGGATTTGCCAACTCTGAAATGATTTCCCAATGACTGGTAGCAATCCAGCATTGCAAGTTTCCACAGTGCCATTGCCACTCACTTCTTCATTGTCAGTGTAGCTTTCATTCTGATGTCCCTGCGCTGGAGTGCTGGGGTGAGCTCAGCACATAGATCCAGGAATGTGGCCTTGTGCATCCAAAAGTTCTGCAGCCACTGCTCATCATCCCAAGCCTGCATTACGATGCTATCCCACCAGTCAGTGCTAGTTTCTCAGGCTCAGAAGCGGCACTCCACCATCTGCAGCGTCTCCGTGAATGCCACCAACAACCCTGAAATGGTTGCTATGTCTCGCAGCAACCTGTCCTCCAAGAAATTGTCATTTTCCACCCTGCAAAATGCTGGAGGATCGTGAGTCCTGTGCTTGCAACTATTATGACAATAGTGCAGAGCTGTATAGGCTCCATGCTTCTGTCAGAGATGGTGAACAGAGAGGAGGGCTGCACAAGTTTGTGGGAATTTTAAAAAGAGGCAAGAAAATTATGGGATACAAGTGACATTATGGGATGGAGACAGCTGCACACTGGGAACTTGACCCCTCGCCCCCAATCACTTGTGTGACTTATGTCTGCCCAACTCTGCATTGCCTAAACTCCCCAAAAGACAGTGTGCTGGATGGTGGTGGGTTGCACACTGGGATACCTACCCATGGTGCACTGCATCATGCATTGATACAAGTACCCCTGGTGAGTACATGCAGCACTTGTAAAAGGAGCCAAATATGCACGTGCACAAGTGATATACTATCTGCGGCAGCTTTATACCGATGTAACTTGCATTGCCCAAAGTTTGTAGTGCAGACATGGCCCAGAGAGCTCTTCTTCAGCTTTTGGAAAGGTACTCAGAGTGTCACAGCTAAATGCAAGATGGAACAGATTGTTTAGCACATGTAATTAACACATACTGTAAGAGAGTGGTTCTCAACCAGGGGGCCGGGGCCCCCTGGGGGGCCACAAGCAGGTTTCAGAGGGGCCACCAAGCAGAGCCAGTGTTAGACTCGCCTGGGCCCAGGGAAGAAAGCCGAAGCCCCACCACATGGGGGTGACTCCGGGGCCCTGAGGCCCAACACCCAGGGCTGAAGTCGAATTTAGCTTTGTGGGGGACCCTGTGGCATGGGGGCCCAGGCAATCACCCTGCTCGCTACTCCTATCACGGCCCTGGCTTTTAATTGCAGAAGACTAGCTGTGGTGGCACAGATGTGACTTCCAGAGACCTCCGTGACATTTTCTGCTTCAGCCCCTGGGTCTGCGGGACAGGAGCTAGCAGCCAGTGGCGCCCCGGCAGCATTCCAGCGACAAGACGACAGCCTCCTCGGGTCTCCCTGCAGGGTTCCAGCGACAGGCGACAGCCTCCTCAGCGGTAGGGTGACCAGAAAGCAAGTGTGAAAAATCAGGACAGTGGATGGGGGGTGATAGATGCTTGTATAAGAAAAAGCCCCAAATATCAGGGCTGTCCCTATAAAATCAGAACATCTGATCACCCTACTCAGGGGGCCCTCCTTTGGGTTCCACCGACGGGGACAGCCATGCGGGGAAGGGGGGTGGGGACACCTCTGCAGCTCCCAGCCACCACAGTGACAGGGGAAACCATGGAACTGCAGCTGCAAAAGTCACAGACCGGTCACTGCTTATGTGAATTTTTGTTTATTGCCTGTGACCTGTCCATGACTTTTACTAAAAATAAACATGACAAAATCTTAGCCTTATTTATGCTTAACAACCTGTTCCCCACCTTGTATTTAGCTGTGACTCTTTGAGTGCCTTTCCCAGGCCTGAAGGAGAGCTCTGTGTAGCTTGAAACCTTGTCTCTTTCACAAACAGGTATTACTTCACCTGCCTTGTCTCTCTAATATCCTGAGCCCAACACAGCCACAACAACACTGCAAACGTTAAATTTACTGAAGATTTCCATACCATAATTGTAGCCTTTAACGAAAAATCTTAGAGGAAACAAAGACTAGTTAGCTTTCCCTACTGTATGGAGATTGCAAATTGGAGGGGACATTGTTCTGGTATTATCCTTTAATAACAGGAGTGGAGACTCCTCAGCATGCAGCCCTTTGTTTAACTCTGGTACGCAATGGACAGGGGTGCACAACTGAATGGCTGCACCCACCATGAAGTCCTGGAATCTTTACATACAGCTCAGTCCTCTCCTCCTGCCTCTGTCTAGAAACTCCCTTCCCCCAGTCTTTGGCCACTTTCTCTTCTCCTTCAGTATCTCTCCCCCCCTGCTCCTCACCGTCCAGGTCCTCTTATCCTTTCCTGAATAATTTAAACTACCTAACCTCCTTAAATGTGCCTCTTGCTCGTAATTAGGCTACCTCCTGTTGCTCGAACATGGCCTCCACCTAAGAGCTTGTTCTAATCACCATCCTGCTCCCATTCTTTCTGATCTTCAGCAATTACAGGAAGAGCCAGGAGCACTGAAGAGGAGTGCTGATTAGCATAAGGAGTTCAGCAGCAGCCCGAGCAATGGAGCAAGGGGGCGGAGGGTGGTGGTTCAACACCAGGAGAGATACCTATTAGAGACTTTGGTTTTAAAAGCAAAAACATTCCCTCCCTCCTTGTCACCCTCCCAGCCCCCTTACCCCCTCCCCAAGATTCCTTCTAGGGATTTTGATGCTTAGATCTAGCTGTTCCTCTTATTAGAAAATGTGAACTCAACCTCAGCATTGCAAGCTGCACCTGGATACCACGGTGATGGGTGCCCTCTATTGTGTGTAATAAATCAATAGAAATGTTCTCAGTTGGCCCCACTGCTTTCTAGACAGCCCCGCTGCTGCTACTAGGGATGCCTAGCCACCTACAATGTCAACCAATTAACCCACAGCAAAGCTGTCTGTCAGGTTAAATAAAAAGAAAAGGAGTATTTGTGGCACCTTAGAGACTAACCAATTTATTTGAGCATGAGCTTTCGTGAGCTACAGCTCACTTCATCAGATAAATAAAATAAAATGATTTTAAATAAAATCATCCTAGCTCAGGCTACTGACTGTCTAGCTCTCTGGCTTGCCAGATGCATGAGGAGCTGCTAAAAGGGAGAGCAATGTGTGAAGGCAGGATCCGTTACAATTAATTTTCTAGGGGAAAAAGTGAGTTTTCAGAGTGTAACAGCAGCAGCAGGAAACACGGCCCCTTACCTCACCACGTTCCGCATTAGCAGAAAGAACGCTTCCTTTGCTGAAGTGCAGAAGTTTTTACCATATATCGCAATCTGCAAAACAGTAACAACTGATTGTTAACTATATAGTTAACCAAGGACAGCCCTAAGTTTTCTTTGCAAATTAACACATGTAGGGCCCTACATAGTTCTTTCCCCACCTGTGACCAAACCCACCCACCTCCACATATCCATAAACCGTCCCACAGTACACTTCCTGCTTCCTGTTACTTCTCACCAGACTGTGGCAGAATATCTCCCAGCCCACCCACCTCTCCAAATCATCAGTTTGTGAGGCTCTGGTGATCTGCCTGCAGGAGGTGGAGACAATACTTAGGTTTCCAAATAGAGGAGCTGGGGAACACAGCCTCTGCCACAGCTTGCCTACATTTGAGGAATTAAGGATGGCAAGTTGAGGGTTATGTAGGGAAAAGCGTTGTGGTCTATCCATCCACAAACAAACCTAAAGCCACTACTGGGATTTGTGCAGGGATTAGGCACAATAATTGAATGCAGAAAGCTACTTTAAAATAAGTTTAAGGCTATAGATGAGCCTGAAGCAAAACCCAGGCTCCAAATGCCCCTGACCTTTGGGGAAATTCAGTCCAGATCTCAACTCTGCAGCTCAGGCCTTTTGCTAGTAGAGGCACAAACTAACAAAATCCATGTAAGGCTGTCCCCTCTCCCTTGATGCTGCTTATTACACAGGTCAGGTGCCCTAGACATGATTCAGATCTCACACCAAAGTGGATCAGGAGTAACTCCACTGAAGTCAATAGAGTTACATGAGTGTAAGATTGGAGCAAGATCAAAACAGGCCCTGCTTGTTCAGAGCGCTGCAAAACTACAGTATTATCAGGGACCAGGTTCTGCTCACTGCTACTTCTACTTAGCTTTAGTTGAGTTAATCTGGATTTACATTTGCACGTCTGAACGCACAGTGTGTCCAAAAAGGTGTAAAGAAGGGCAACAGCTTTAATAGGGACATGCCTTGCTTTTCTTGGACAACCTCAGTATTATTTTAATATAGGTTGTTAAATGCTTTTAAAAAAACACGGAAGTCAAGACTTTGTCTACGTTGGAAAATTGGCTAGCATAGCTACTGCAGAATAAGCTATTTCATACTAGCTGTTGTAGAATAGTTGCCTGAGTGGAGACTCGAAAAAAAGTGACTTTATTCCAGAGTAATTTCCCAGCTCACAAAGTGTAATAAATTCACTTTCATTCCAGAACAGTGTCTCCCTGTGTGGGAGATATTCTGGAATAGTTAAATTATACCACAATAGCTATGCTGGTCAATTTTCCCCATGCAGAGAAGGCTGTAGAAAGAAAAATTTCCTCCCCTGAAGACTGCACTAATTCTGAGATCCCTTTGGAGTGAATGAGGTTTTAATGAAACCATTACTGTCACTTCCTCGGAGAACAGCTCTGACACTGCAAAACACTTTTACTGAAATTGTTTCAGGTCAAAACAAGACAACATGGGTGAATTCTGCTCTTATTTACAACAGGGTAAATCTGGAATCTCTCCCCTGAAACCAATGCAGCTCCTCTGGAATTACACCATTGGAACGAGGGCAGAATTTGGCTCTATGATTTTACTGGTGAATACAAGTGCTGAGTGTTCTGTAGCTTCCTTATTCAGAGCAGCATATTTTAACAAAAACATCACATCGGTATGTAGTATACAGTGTTTGCAGGATGTAGTGACATTCCTGTTGAAATCAGTGTTTGAATTGCAGGTGGGGAGGGAAGTTAACCAGTCATACTGTATCCCCACTTTTCATGGGTACTGGTGGGGGAATGGAGGGGGGGGAAAGAGGGACGGGGGAGGGGAAAAAAGGATACTATCATTTTGGGGGCAGGGACACATGAATTCCCCCAAAGTCACTAAAATCCAATTCTTTACCTTCTAGAGTCAAACAGTAGCCAAAATTAAGCCTGGCATAGCTGAAGAGCAAAACATTAAAATCTTGATGACTGCAGATACAGCTATACATAGAATCATAGAATATCAGGGTTGGAAGGGACCCCAGAAGGTCATCTAGTCCAACCCCCTGCTCAAAGCAGGACCAATTCCCAGTTAAATCATCCCAGCCAGGGCTTTGTCAAGCCTGACCTTAAAAACCTCTAAGGAAGGAGATTCTACCACTCTGCACACTCCTTATGGAGGCTTGTAGAGTACAGATACTGCATGCCCCCCAGCACAATATAAACAGCAGTTTAGATGGGGAGGCACAGTTTAGGTGAGTAAAGTCACTCTACAATCTTGGTATGTATCCTACACGGCTCTCTACACACCCAAGGGGTGCCTCCCAGGTCTCCAGGACTATTTTTAGCAGTGTAGTGCCCTGCTGCCTCCCTGCTGCTCAAGACTTTCCCTACTGCAGTGAAAGGCTCCAGCAACAGGGAAAGGCTCTGGCATCGGAGAGCTGCCAGAGCCTTTCACTGCCCTATGAAGATATACACAACAGTGTGGAAACAGTCTACTTGTCACTGCAGCATGTAGCTACATGTACCCTACATATCCCCGCCATGGGTGTGCAGTGTAGGCTTATCTCTAAGATACTGATTGTAGTGCCCCAGGCATGACGCTAGAACATGCTGAGAGAGAAAATACGCACCATGATGTAGGCATTTCTGTTTATGAACTTTATGAATTTTTCCAAACACCAAAAACAGCATTTGAGGCAGCAGAGCAGAAATCTTGTAAAGGAGTTCTGTGTACCTGCGGAAAAGGAGGGAGAGCAGAACATGCAGACACATGATGAGTTCTCTTTAAAATATGAGAGGGCTGCGCACAATGGCTGGATCCACGGAGATAGGTCAGTAGTTGAAATATTGCCGGCTCTCCCTCAGGATAGAATCCTGTCCCATCACTGGAGCAAGGAGTTGCAATTTTCTCCTCCCTTCCAGAGTGAGTCTCGCCCACTAGCCCTACATTATATTACATGCATCTCCTCCATGAATTCTTATATTAAACTTTCAAGGACAAACACTCAGCTGGGGTAAATCAGCATAGATTCATTGACTTCAAATGGCACTACAGTGATTTATACCAGCCCAAGATTTGCCTCTTAGATGTTTTATAGCTGAAGAACCATTCTGGAAAAGGAAGGAAAACAAGATGAATATTAATAATTAACTTAATATTCTACAGCAAGTTCAGAAATCTCACCTTTCAGCTTGTGATCCAGGTACTCCAAGATTATTCTAATCAGCTGGACTATTGCAAGAATTAATGATCCAAATGCTAGTGAACCTGTGTGATATCTAATACAAAACAAAGCGGTATTATTATACCATGTTACAGGAGACAACAGCAATACATAACTGAACTGACCTTGGCAAATATCACAATAAACTATCTTATGAACTGTGAAATCTGCAAACAATCTTTTGAAAAAGATTAACAACAAAGCAAAATTTGCTAAGAACTTGGATGCTGATGAAAGATTGTGAAATGTTGCCTCTACTAAATGCTTCTGAATAACCCTGGTGTTAGCTGAACAATTTGCCCTGCTAGATACAACATGAATAAGAGATACTATAATTACAAAAGGCGTATAAATTGTGTTGTAGTAAAAATGTTTATATCCATAATGTGGTTTCCTTTGCTAATTTTAACTAAAGATCATTACTAATATAATGTAAATTTACCAATTTAAATATTGGGTTTACATTTAAACTGTACAGTGCTTTTAATAATTACACAATAGGTCAATATGCTCCTGATTTTCAATAAAGTAAAAAGCCAAGACCCATGCACAAAAATGTGTACATCCACACATCGCTACTGTGTTCGCAGCAAGATCATTTGTATTTTTTAGGTGTCCAACAGCCATAGAGGGTTACTATAACAGATTTGCATACGCAGGTGCAGTAATTGCTTGTATAAGTTAGGCATGCAATTTCTCAGAGCTTCTACTCTTTTGAAATTCAGGCACTTAATGAATTTGGATCTGATCCTCACACCACTGAAGTCAAAAGCAAAATGCAGGTCTGTAATGATGACTGATCCCTTAATGACTAAGCTTTTCTACATAATTGTTTTCCTTTGATAATCTAAGTGTAATGAAATTGTTTCCTTCTGAGTTATGAGCAGTGCTAGGAAACACAAAGAGATTAAACTCCAGATTCTTATCCTTACCGTATTGCTCGTCCAAATGAAGAAAAGAGTGGGCATGGTGGAATATCAGCAGGTTTTCTAAAGGCCCAGTAATAAGAGGCAAAGGCACCAGCAAGGGTACACTGACCCAGTGCAATTGCAAAGTTTACCAGCCACAGAAAGACAAAAGCATTGGAGAGTTGAAAGATGAAGATGTATTTGTGATAGAAGCTTTCTCCCCCATAGAAAGCAAAAGTACACTGAGCACCAACACATAATTTGGTCACATTGGTTGTGTTAAAAGTCTGTTTAGAAAGAAAAACAAACAAAAATAATCATAAGCAATGAACAGGATGTGTCGGGACAATTTCTGAAATTAAATGGCTGAGGACAAAAATCTCATATATTCTGCTAGATGTTTCACTAACTCATTCAATCCTGAGCCATAAGTGGAAGTCTAACTATACTGTAAATGTTTTTTAATTCATTTAAATAATTCAAAACTAAAGCCCTACTTAATTTGTGATATTATGGATGTTGTGAATCCTGCAATATTAGGCTTTCACCACAATTTTGTTAGCAGCCCGGGGCTGACAGCAGGAGCTCCAGCCGTCAGCCGCCCAGGGCCGACAGTGAAAGCCCTGGCTGTCAGTCACTGACCGCAGAGCACTGCTGTCAGCCCCATGCATTAATGACTGTCATATAGTTGCAGCAAAATGTCTGGTTATCAAAAAAATTAGCAACATAATACTTAACATAATACTTGAGTGTTTATATTGTTCCAGCAAAATTTTCTTAAACAAATAGGTCTTCTCTGGCTTTTCCAAATTACCACAATTAATAAAGGTCCACTATTACTTTTCCACGATTTTCCATGTCTTGTTCACAACTCAGCTGCAATTATTTGACAATCGTCCCATGATTCAAATAGGGCCTTATTAAAAACCCAATACTAAAAAAGACTTGGATATATGCTTAACTTAATGCTCTGTGATTAGTCAATGGGCCGCTCACTATGCACAAATGTAAGCACATACACAAATCTTTGCATGACTGGGGCTTAACGATTCTTTCTCCTTTGATTACAGACATCAGCAGAGTGCTGTAGTGTTTGGGAGGCATGCATTTCACGGGAATGCTATTACTTAAAATAAGCTATTTCCATTGGCATTTAAAATATCTGGAAACACTTCTACGGATGTTAGACTTCATAAACATTTTTTGTGTTTGAAGAACTCCCAAAATAAAGTTAGAGCCCAACGTGACCTAACTGCTCCCAATAAATGCCAAAAGATTTGATAAGCATTTTGTAAATTTTCTTAACTTATCCTTATTGCTATGATAGTCAGTATTGTCTAGTAGCAAGAGCATATGATTGCAAACTGAGAGATGTGGTTCCCAGTTGGGTTTCTGCCGTTAACTTGCTCAGCAGATTGGACAAGTCTCTAAGGCCCAAATTTTGAAAACTGGCCACTGATTGTGGATGACTTTTGGTATCTCTCAAACTGAGCATCCAAAAATTGAAGCACCAAAAATGAGTGGACACTTCTGAAAATTTAAGCCTTTACCTCTGTGTCTCAGTTTCCCCACCTGTAGAACAGAGCTATTAATACTTCTCCTCCTCGCACGGGTGTTGTGAGGATTAATTACCTGGTGTTTGTTAAGTGCTTTGAACATGCACAGTGCTACCTAGTGCTAAGAATTATGTGACCTAACACAAAGAATGAGTGGAATACAACTATGCATGGTCTTTAAACAAGCATTGCACATATACTGAATATCAATAAATTAATATAATTAGCACGCCCCCTCCTTTTCCCCTCCATAGACAGTTATTAGTTATGCTTACCTCTGGGTCACAGGTCAGGTTTGCATACTTGCACAGCGTTTGATTAGCCATTACTTTATACACAGGTTCCCCTGATGTAGACAGGAAACTGAGTGAATTGTATTAAGGAGGAACTCTCAGAATCATAGATCCCTAAGTTCCATCGTACATGAAACAATATAATAGGGGACCACTAACCCTGAAACCTGTGTGGGTTGAAGAGAGATTCAGGTTTAGAGCACTACGTCTTCCCCTACGCACGTGGCCAGCATATAAGCAGAAGGGTGAACAAGTAACACCTACATTGTCCTCAAAGCTAGAGAACTGTGGAAAACCCTGCCCTGAAGCTTGCACACCCCTGACCAGACTCAGGGAAGGAGCTACCTCCACATTACTCTTAGTCCCCTCTGCACACATCGCTATGGCAGCATGGACTAGTCGGTGACCCTACTGCCAGCGGCTCTTGGCCAGCTCCCGTGCTCGGTGACTGCTGCAGTGGGGAACAGAGGATGAGTTAATACTGCTCAGAACAGAAACAACAGACTCTTCTTCACCCAGTGAAACTTTTAAGGCTTCCTGACTTCTCCCTCTGCTGCTTGGCAAACCTCTGTGTAGCAGGCAGTTTTTATGGAGAGGCTGGTGGCAGTTATGCAGGATGAGGCGCAAAACAGGCTGTGCAGCTGCCAGTGAAAAACATGGCAAAGTGCAAGGGAGCAAATAAGAGCTCCCAAATTAACTAAGAAACAATGAAAGCAGGGCTAAGGAACGTGAAGTCTGGTGCAGGCCATACGCTCTATGGGTGAATAAACCCTGTGCAGTGGGCTCACCCAACGCCCCATGTACCATTTAAGACTTAAGGACTTAAATGCAGCTTAAATAGTGCACAGGGCCTTGTCTGAGCCCACTGGGGGGGAATTCCACCCCAAGACTGTTATTTTTTAAATAAAATATAATGTCCTGCTTGTACACCATAACCCAGTGTACAATAGGGAAGAATCCTTTATTGGTGAGGAGATGGACTAGGTGACCTAACAGCTTGCTCTAACGTCTATGATTCTCTGAATGTGTTATAATACAGTCTCAGCCAGCATGATGGAACAGAACAGCTCAATGAGACAGGAGCATCATACAGCACCTCATGCACCCACTTGATAAGATATGAGAGGGAGAGAAATACAACACATCCAGGTGCAGGACATTTCCCACCATATTGTCCACTGGATCTACAAACACACTAACACACCTGTGTGTAAACATCACTGCCATCCCCAGTTCTGCCTCTCACCAGCCACTTTGGGAGAAGCACGCACACTTGGGAGAAGGCAGAAGAAAAGTGCATTTATTTATTCCTTGTGTAAATAGTCAGGCACATAGGGTGGGTGTGAAGTATGTCTCCAGGTGATGATGTCTGTGAGAAATACAATCTGTTGGTGTTAGTCTTCTTCAGAGTCTCCTAAGAAAGCACAAAGGGATTTCAATACTGCAAAGTGTGGGTTTCCACAGTGGCTTCATCCCACATCTGCTATCAAGAGAAGAGCCTTAGCGGAAACAGTTGTGTAAGGATTTTGGCTCTACCTCCAATGTACTGCTCATTGAGAGTGAAGGCCGATGTGAGCATTTACACAGTTGTTTGGTGAGCTGTTCAGATATTACCAAGATAATGAGGTACAAATATTTAGACATATAGAAGGATACACAGCTGTCACTGCCCAATAGGAAATGCAGATTGCAATGAGAACGAAGGTGATAATGGGGTAGAATAATGTGGACATTATGTAGCCAATAGCCCTACAAAGGAAACAAAATAGAGTTGAAATCTAGAACGATAACAAAACAAAAGTCACTTTTTATTAGCCCTTTAGTATTAACCCCTTGACTTCTCTCTTCACGGATACTGGTGGTGTCACCTAGCGCCAGGATCCCAGAGCACTACCAGTGCCATCTCCTTACTGCCTCGCTTCTGTCACCTTCTCATTTTGTCTCTTCTCCTCTCCCTCTTTCATCTGACTGCCCTGCTCAAATCTCTGCAGTATTCTGTTCCCAGTCTCCTTCTTTCCGCTGATTTTGCCCTCCCTGGTCCTACCCCTGCTACCTTCCTTCAATCCCGGATCATAAACCCATTCTGCTCCCACATCCCCAGAGCTGCTGTCTGCCTCAGACACTGCCCCTCCCACCACCTGTTTTCTCCATGTCCCCAAACTACTCAACTCCTAGACCCGCTCTTTCCCTTTGGCCCCTGCCTATCCTAGAACTCCCCTATACATCCTTCCTCCTGCCTTCCTTCCTAGTGCTCACAGATCCAGTCTGCTCCGGGACCTTCTGCTCTACTGAGCATTGCATGCTCTAGACCCTTGACATTCTACTTCTCTCTTGAGTCACAGTCCATTTTGCTTCTTCACCATTGTAATGTATTTATTAGGGGAGGAGGGTGTGCGTGCTTTAGTAGCTGACAAACCAGGCACTAGTCCCAGTGAGTAAAAGGTGTGGTCAGAGTGTGGACACTGGTAACTAGGAACTTGAGTGTTCTAATCCCTGCTCTGACAATGATTCCCTCTGTGGCATTAAATACATTACTTAAGCCATCAGTGCCTCTCTAGAAAACGACTGCACTTATCTCACAGGGGAATAATGAGTTCTTAGATACTGCGGTGATGGGATAGGAAATAATTGTACAGGCAGCTCACTGCATGTTGTCTAAAGCATGTGGATTGATTACATGGCTCTCCCATTTTCCTTTACATTCCCCCAATCCACCTCATCCCATTCCTTCTGAACCTCTCCTTCCAGCAGTTCCCTGATGCGCTCCTCTGACCATTCCACTCTCCCTTCTCCCTCTGCTTTTTCTTCCCCCAATTCCCATTGTGCTTCTCCCCTAACTTGTTCACTCCTGCTGCCAGCTGCCTTCCAGGAGCCAGTTCCCAGAAAGTAAATGAAAGACAAATTTACTCCACTCCTGCTGTTAAACAAGACGACCCTGGGGATAAATTAACCTATCTTGTGTGACAACAAGGTCAATGGCAACATTCTAGTAGTGTTTTCTTATTGCCAAATCATACCTGGATCTACAGGCACAATAAGCGCATTATGAGTCATACAGACATGCATGATTTTATGCTATTTAAGAAATAATCACAAATCAGTAGTTTTCAGCAGTTAATGAGAGGCTTGTTAGTTAACAGTGAAGCCACAGACAGTTTACTCTAACAAACTGCTTGTTAACTATGCTATCAATGGATTCCAAACAGCTGATTACTATTATAAATTTTAATTTTACTGAAAGAATAGTTGAACTGTACTGAAAAAAATGATTTGATTCCCAGTCATTAGCAACTTATTTTCCATCATCCTGAATACAGGGCATGGTCTGTTAGGTGTACCGTCATTACTTACAGTGTTTCACCTCATGCATTAAACATGAGTGTAAAAGTATTGCCCTCAAGTGACCTTTCAGTGTAGCTAAAAAACTAGAGGATGTTATTACCTCCCAGCAGGAAGTTTATGAAATTTCTGAAGTGTTTCTATCTGTCACATTTTTGAATAAAAGTGTCTTAGTGTGTAAAATGTTTCTGAATTATAATGTACAGGATCCAAAGGATAGAGTGCAGTGCTGCCAAAACTGACTGCTATTTCCTGCATACATAGCTGTAGAATGGGAAATAAGTGGGTTAATTATGGAACTTTAGCTTTCCCTAATTCCACAAAAGACTCCCTAAGTCCTGATACTACAGGCACTGGGATGCCAAGGAATGTAAAAGAAAAATCAGGGAAGGGAAGTGGTCACAATTCATATTCATATTCGGCACTGCTCTGATGAGTTTGGTAGCACTGTGACTACCAACCACCTACTAGCTCTCTATACTAAATTCTGTTCTTGTGTAGCCCACCACTTGACCCAAAAATCTGTCCTCATTTACACTGGCATTACTCCATCAAAGTCAATTGGTGCAACAGAGAGAATTTGATGCACTGTGTTTAATAGAAGGACCAAGTAAATGCAGGAAAGTTATAAATTGCAACCTGGAAACTGCCTGTGAGATTGTTAAAAGGAAGACGTGTTAACTACTCTATTACTGCACATCATAATATCACTGACACTAATTCATCTGAGCAAAAACTGAAATCAATAAGTATAACACACCTGGATCTGAAGGCAAAATTTGACCCTTGTTAGTTACTTTTTTCACCATATAACAGTCAGCTAAGTTGCAGGGTGGATCTAAGCCTTCCGAATGGATTATATCAAGCTCCCCACCCCACACACCCCACTCTAAAAAATACGGTTAAACCCCTCACAGTAACCATCCCAATGTTTCAAGGAGACATTTAAAAGATATTTACTCTCAAATGGTACTTTCTCTGCATAATCAAATTTTTGGGATTTTCAAAAGTGCCTCAATCAACAGGACTGGGCTCCTAAGTCACTGCGACACTTTTGAAAATCCTACTGCTAGCTGCCAATGAGACTTGACCCTATATACAATGGATGCTGAGGTCTTGATCCTACAAGCTCTTGTCTGGTGCACATTAGGTTTTTATGCTCCCTTTGCAAGTATGAAAGGAAGCTCCATGTTGGCACAAGCAAGATTCAACACTAGATGTAGTCCTCTGTGCTGAATGAACATATCTTTGAAGACCTTTGTATGTCTGCTACCTTAAAATGTGAAGAGGTGGGGGCAGAGAATAGGTGTGTCTGAGAATAGAAAGACTTGCGTGTACTCCCTCAGCATGCAAATTATGTGCCTAGTTACACATTCTCCTATGAGCCCCTCCTACTGCTACTAGGCAGGAGTAACCTAGCAGTCATAAAGCTACACTCTCATTCATGCAGGATCAGCCAGCCCTGCACTTCCTGGATTGTTTAGCACTTTTCCCCTTGTGCTTTTATCCACCGTATTCTGCCCCAGGCAGTGCAGGATCAAGTCCCAACAGAATACAACAAGGAGGGTATTACAATTTTTTAAAAAAATCAATAAATCAGAGAAACATACCTACTCCCTTCCTGCAAGAGTGCAATAGCAATCCGGATCCGATTCCTCAGGAAGATCAGCATCAGTATGATGAAGACTTCCACAATACAAAGTATTATCACTGCAAGCAAGAAAATTAAACTAACCAAAAATCAAACCAACATGCTGCCTTTCTACATTGGTGGTTTCCCACTTGTACTTTACAATCCTGGTCATGAATGCCAAGAAACTCTATGTTAGAACATGGTTGCTCTCTCTCTGACTGCAATGGCTAACTTTCAATCCCCATTTAATACATTCTTGGGAAATCCCACAGAAGTTGCTAGCCTTGACAGATGACATTAGTGTTTGTAATTTACAAAGGAAAGTGGAGCATTGCAACGTCAGACAGTTCACAGATATAATCATCTATTTAAAAACATATGTCTGTAGCACTTAGCATAAAATATCATTTATCCTTAATGCACTCCATTAAAGTAAACTTCGGCTATTCAGAAACAAGCATTTTTCAATGGTTATACTATATTGCTGCTAATTTGTAGTCTCTTGACATAGGAAAAAGAATAAAACATAGATGGACATTCAGCCTTTTAATTAAGAGAGCTTGATTCTGATCTCCCTTACATTGGTGTCATGCAGAAGTAATTCCATTGAAGTCAACGGCCCAGTTTTATACAGGGCAAGCCAGCATCTCAGTGAGGTACAAGGAGGGAATAGGGACACATGGTACAACACTAATATTCTCTATGGGCATTAATTTAAAGAGATTCACCTCAGCAACATGTGGTGAGTGGCCCCCATTAGCTCACTGACCCAGACATGCAGGTAAACAGAGACACAGCACATAGGTTTTATGCAGCAGGCTGCAGCTTTGTTAAATCAGCTTAACAATGGGGTCAATGGTACCGCAAGCCCTAGCAGGCAAAGCAAGGATCCAATGTGGGAGGACATAACATTATGCCAAAGCCACAAAACTTGGAGTCAGGGAGGTAAGGGAGACAGTGCCTAAATCACCCCTGGTATCCAGACAGTTAATGAGATCCCCTATCATCCCTCTGGCTCAAGGACATGAGAGCAGAGATGGGAAATGCCTCAGTCTACACTAGACCTAAGAGACCACCCCTACCCCAGCAAGACAAAACTTTGGCCAGCAGATGCCAGAGTCCTGTGCTTATGTTTAGCCCAGGAGATACCCCACGCTTGACACTGATCACAAAGCTACAACACCATAAATGCTGTGCCCACCAAACCAGGCTTCCCATATGCTGTGAGGAAGTTAAAAAAAAAAAATCTTTCTTGGATCAGCCAATTTTGTCCAGAGGAAAAATTATTTCCCATGAGGGCTGATCTGCCTAGGCCCACAGCATGCAGGAACCCCAGTTCTGCTACCTTCAGGCCCCAATAACTCCCAAAGGGAGGGTGTTGCTTGGGCACTTGCCAATGGGGGTGGAGTGCAGCTGACCAATCATAGTCAGCCACCTCTCCTAAACTGGCCAGTCATGCAGACAATGGCCCACTCGACCCTCATCTACCACTTCACCCCTTCCTCCCTTTAAACTGCATGTGGTACCCATACAGAAGGAATGATACATGGATGGATGGGGAAAGGCAAATCCCCTCTCCCCTGCAACCTGGCCAGAATCCCAGCGAGTGTCTTGCTCTCTGCTAATCAAGTCAAACCCTTCTCCCTCACCACCACCAATAAGACAAAGGGGGACATCATAACAAGAGTGGTATTCTACCAGTTGTGCGTGTTTTCCGCATTTGTTAGTAGTTTGATTAGACCAACTTCTAGGCCAGATAAACTAGTAATCCTGAAAATGGCACAATATAATAAAAAACCTTCACTGCTCTGAGATCCCAGAAATATATATAAAGGAAGATATTTGTTCAGCATCTGTAAAAAGGAGTACTTCATAGGTGGCACAAAACAGCTGATGATTCGTTCTCCTGGTTAAGCATTTACAGAGAGTAATTTTAAAAGGCACTTACTAAATGCTAACCATGTTTGCCTCAGCTGCAGGTACACTCTGAAGTCAGTCTGGAAGCCAATATCATAGATCGTGAGGTCAGATCCAGGTGTCCCCTGAAGATGATCATACTCCCAGTAACAATGCCAGATACCTTTAGAAAAATAAACCAGTAAGAGCTGAGTGTTTCTGAAGAGTCTGTAAACATGAATGAGCCTTCGGTTTTTTTGCCTTCAACATGCCATACAGGCAAAAACTACAGGTGATCATGAGACTCGTGGCTTATAAACCCACATGAACAAAAAAGAAATCATGGTGCAAATACAGAAAGCCTAATCCAGCCAGCACTTACACATGGGTGAGTAGCCCCAAGGCAGTACACCTGGTGGTAAACGCTTGCAAGTTCAGGGCCACAGTAGAAGTTTCTTTAAAGAAAAAAACCCTCAAGACCCTGTCAAACCTACACAATATTTCACCTGATTAAGTTATTTAATTGGCAGTAATTCATAGAATCATAGAATATCAGGATTGGAAGGGACCTCAGGAGGTCATCTAGTCCAACCCCCTGCTCAAAGCAGGACCAATCCCCAATTTTTTCCCCAAATCCCTAAATGGCCTCCTCAAGGATTGAATTTACAACCCTGGGCTTAGCAGGCCAATGCTCAAACCACTGAGCTATCCACAGATTTCCTTGTACAAACATCAACAGTAAGAACAAAATCTCTCAGCAGTTCTTCGTTAGAGAGTGTAGGAGCTATCACCTACCATATCCTATAATTCCAATCACGCCAAGGATGAAAATCCAGAAGAGGACCCCTGCTGTGAACCTCAGGAGCACAAGGAAGAGCAGGCTGACAATCATTGCAATGAACAGACCACTGGAAAGACAGGAGACATGAACATAAGGGAAATAGGCATAAGCATCCCTCCTCCTTGCGCATTCTATTTACTACAAAAGGAGGGGCACTCTTTCACATGCTACAGAATGACAGGTCTAAAATTTTATTCCAAACTCCTTCTGAAAGTCTAATGAGTGGGTGAGTGTTTTAAAGTTTGGATACCATCAACTATTGGAAACCAGTCTGTTGGGCGATAAGTTTCTAGGCAGTATGATTACATTTCATAGACACATTTATAAATGATGGGCCAGCTCCTTAGCTGGTGTAAACTGGCATAGCTTCATTGCAGTGACTGTGCTGATTTACACCAGCTGAGGTTCTGAGTCAGTGATGTCTTCAGGCTGTGGATAGGCAAGAGTAGAGAAGTGTCAAACTGGAAAGATGTGTACATGTGTGGTTAGTTTAATTGAGGTTCTTAAATAAGAACATCCTTTTTAAAAAGGGATAGGGATTTTGAATTTGAGAATAAAACACTTCCCTTTCTATCCTTCCAAACAAGTCATGTGTAGTGCATCGGAGCTGGGAAGAAAATGTGCACTAAAAAGAAAGAAGATAAAAGCTGACATTGGCAGTGACCTATCAGCAGTGCAACTGGGAAAAAACAGCTATCCAGTGAGTATCTTCCTTTAGCCTACTCAAATCAGTGGTAAGGCAGTATGAATTCTGGTTTCATTCGCAGCATGCAAGTCACAGAGGAAAAAAAAATAAACAATGATGGCTGTGTAAACCCTTTACCCGCACACAGGTATCTGAGTGTACAGCCAGAGGAGATAACAGCCAGTCTCCTCTTACATATATTCCCAACATGCAGTCAAGTGGGACACACCAGTAAAATATTTCATTTTGTGATGACTTTAGTAGAAGCCGAAACAAAATAAATGATTACGAACCCTGGACTTTGAAGATATACCCACTGAAATACAAAATCCATAACCATTAATTTAGAGTTTATTTAGTGATTGCTCTCTGAAATGTCCCCACTCACCTAGCTGGTTATCAAAGATGTGAGACTGATCAGACTCAGGACCACATGACTGTGATGGGTAAGCCATCTCTTTGGGCTTGTAAACCTAACAACTGTGCAGCAGACAGTGAAAAGGAAAGAGCTACAGCTTGCTTTGGAGATCTCTTCCCCATAACCTGCACGAGGCATTCATAAAGCTCCTCTCTGCCCTGCGTGGTTACTTCCTTTCCAAAATTCACCAGATGACATCTCCTGCTTTCTCACTGAATGGTTCATCATTCAAAAATTTCCTCCTCAAAAATAGCTGGACTATTTGGAGGTTGGGGCCCTGATTTCTGTATGTGGTAAAATGCCCAAATCTCTTGTAGATCTGCCACAGGCTGATGTGAGGCTGTAGTTATAGATAACATAGCAGCATAAAGGATTAGCCTCACATTGTGTATAAGATCTATGAAAAGTGCATGATACAAGTATGTGATAAGAGGAGACTCTTGGAGTTTAACAGTAGGATATCAGACGTACACATAAATGAATAGTTCTTCTCCATTCATACCTGGGAAGGTACAAAGTATAGGAGCCAGGAATATCTGTAAATAAACTTACATTAAAATCCAATGCCAGGAACTGGCATAGTCTTCAAAAATTTTCATCCCAACTGATCTTGCATCAAGGACATTATTGATACCACTTAAGCAATACAGAAAAAAAGTTTAGTTTATATGGGATACTACAGATCTTATTTAAGCAGCAAATAGGTCGTTAATGTACTAACAAAATATAAGTTATGCCACAAAGCATTTTTAGAACATGCCTCTATTTGTAGCATTTGTTTTTTTAAGCAAAACAGAGTTTGAAATGTCATTGCCAGTAATAAAGTTACATTACAATGCTGTAGCTCAGGTTTTGTGCATAAACAAACATCAGTTACAGTAATATTTGATTGGGAAGGAAATTCCACTGAGGGTGGAAGGCCCCCCAAACTGTTAACATTCGTACAGCTCTAGGAAAAAGAATATAATAAAAAGCTCTAAATAACATTAGTATCAGCAGACGCAATAACTTATTACATCACAAAAATGTCATCAGCTGGTAGTAAGATCTGCCGTAAACCCCCAGAAGCCATACAATAGTGGTTCCAATGTTACCAGTACCAAAGACGAAAAACAAAACAAAACAAAAAAAACGCATAGCAAACAGTAAAACAATAACCTGCCCATAGGGGAATTTTTTTTCCTAACCCTAGAATAGTTGCCAACATTAAAACATTTTCCTAGGACAATGCTAGGAAGAAATAAAGCTAGGGCTTTATGATAGCTGGGGACAGCTGGAGTAGGGGGCTTGATAAACTGTGGGGTCTGGAGTCAGCATTGGTGAGGCAAGAGAGGGGGCATTGCTAGGTTTGAGGGAAAGGAAAGGGGGTGCCCCCTGGTCCCAGTCTGAATGGGGACTTGATGGAGGTTGGAGAAGCTGCTCTGAAAGTTCCCTCTTCTCCTAGCTCAGGCCCGGCATGGGAGATGCTAGTTTTTTACCTGGAGAGGTTTGATAGATTCCCACATGCTACCAGTCCCACATCATTGGCTAGGATACCCACTCCTTGGGACAGGTATTAAAAACCAGAGAGCAGACCTTCAGCTGGTGTAAACTGTCATAGCTCCATTGGTGTCAATGAGTATCTGCTCCCAGGACTGTTGGCAGGGATAGCCTTGGTGAGTGGTTTGTCTCCTCAAGCATTAGGATTTATACTCCTTGCTCTGTTTGAAGCTAACCTTCCACAGAGAGAACTAATAAAATAACAAAACTAAGCTGACAATCAGCCACAAACAACACACCTCCAAATTAAATGGAAAAGCACTCTTTAAAAAAAATCCTTTGCTAGTTTCCTCATATAGAATTTTAAAAGCACTTCATTACAATGTCTCACTTGGTTAATTTCAGTCATTTGCTACAACTGATTTTGATTTCTTTTCTACCTATACATTAATTCATTGACCCGGAACATACACAAAAGGTATCACATAAATGAAAAGCACGAGAGGAAGGAAGAACCTACTTTGCAGCTTCCCTGAGATCAGTTACATTTCTTGTTTTCCCTCTTCCATCTTTGAATGTCGTCTGATTTGCCACCGTCAAAATCCCATTCTTCGTGGAGAAGTCAGGAAAGCATCTTTTAAGAACTGTTAAGTAATGAAAACCGTGGGTAAAAACATATGTTTATTTATCATCAAACTCCACTTTAAAATTATGGGGTTTTGCCATCAAGTTCGTGATTTGCTGTGTGTAAATCATTTCAGATCGGTAGTGAGGCCCAGATCCACAAAGGTATTCCGTCACCTAAACACCAGATCTAGGTGCCTAAGTCCCAGTTTTAGGCACCATTGCAATCCAAAAAATCCCCTCTTGCCTGCTGCTTAACCTTGTAGCCTATACTCATTTAGCACCTAAATTTTCATTGTAAAAGTTCCTTCCCTGCCTAAATTTCTGCCTCTGGCCATGCACACTGCTATCTCCCTGTAGGTGTCCAGACACCTATCTTCCACCTAAGCCCCAGCACAATCCACAAATCAGGTAAAGGTACACCCCCCCCCCCAGCCTATCTCACCCTGGGGGCCCAGTGTGCTCAGAGGCCATCGACCAGACCAGAGAAGGAGGTGGTGGTGCCGCTATCACTGCCCACACCATAACTTCTAGCCCAGAGGTTAGGGCACTCACCTGGGAGGCCCAGGTTCAATTCCCACAGCAGCATGAGGGGAGGAAAGGATTTGAACAGGGATCAGAAAAATGCTTTGACTACTCAGCTAAGCAATATTCTGATGTGGGGCTCTCTCTCAGTCTCTCCTGTTGATGCTGTTCCATAGTGGCTAAATAATTAAACACTCCTTGGAACAAGGGGACTCTGGGATTAGCACTAGAACGCAGTGTATGTATTCAGAGACACAATGCTCCCTTTTTACCCTGCAGAACCTGTAGAGCTATAGAAGGTTAGATCCTAATTAGACTCATCTAAACTCCAAATACAGGGCCATATTATGCCCTTACTGTAGCTATGCTGTTAACCAAAGACAATAGGGTTGCTTGCCCACGTGCATAATTTAGTCTGCAGAGTCCTCATTACTGGGGATGACTCATGAGGCAGAAAGAACCCAGCTTGACCTGATCTCAGGTTGAGTTTTCACAGCTGGAAGATAGAAAAAACCATCTTTATACTTTTATACAGCGTAACATTGATTTGGCCGTTACTGACAGTCAATGCAGAGCCTCATCATGACAACACCAGGATCTCCTTTCAGAGTGAAGCTGCACGTTAACAACATACACACCAATCCTCTGCTGAGACATGTGCAAAAAGTATAACTACTCACAAGGCCTGCTTGGAATGATCATTGAAGGGCAATCTTCATCACGGATCACTTGAGCAACAGACTAAAGAAAATAAACCCAAAAAGAGGAATTGGAGAATACAATGCAGAACAAATAAAACCCACTCAATCTGAGAAATCTTTACAATCAAGAAAATGTCCCATTTTCCCTCATTTGTGTCTTAATCTTTTGGCATGATTTGACTGGTGCATCTGCCTGACACTCACAGGATGAAAGCAAGAGACCTAACCATCCTTGGACAGTCATGGATCAGGAATAAAATATGCTTCTGGCTTTTCGAATGGTAATAAGATAAAAACAGAAGGCATCAGACCTGCCTATCAACTAATGGTGCTTCGGCAGGTGTTTTTGTCTCTCATAGAAAAAAAAGTTTGTTATAACAGAATTAGTACATTTAACTCCAGGCTGATGTTAAGAGTTGCTAGGTGCTCTTATTGTGGGAGGAATATTAAGGTATGTTCAAATGCAAACCCATGGTATTTCAAAATGGTCGTCTTATTGCAAAGCTGGAGTAATTCCCTGGCTAAAAAAATTGAGTGAGAAGCTGCAGGTGACTTACTACAGCGCCTGCTGATTCAGACATAAAACTCTCTAGGATGAAGGGGAAATTGTTAGTACTAATCTGAGCTCTCCTTCTCCACTGTGGATCATTGCAGCCTAAACCTATATACTGGAGAAAACTGACTTCTCTGGGTACATTTAAACTGCAATGCAAGCCCAAGCTTAGAGTCAGGCTTGAGCCCAAATCCCGCATTCAGTCTACACACAAATCTATCAGTCTCAGGCTCAGACCTACGGTCTTAAGACCCTGTTGAGGAGGAGGGGCCAAGCCCAGTCAAGCCAGGACCCAGAGTTTGACCCCTTTTACTTTGCAGTATAGATTCAGCCCACCCCCAACCCCAGGTCCTGGGAGTCTGCCAAAAGTATCCCACAATGTCATGGACCAACTTCCTTTCTCCTCTCTATCCCAAGAATCTTCAACTGACTTCAGTGAAAATGGATGAAACCCCCGCTCCACTTGGTGCACTGCAGGTTGGTGAGTCAGCGTTAACCCTTCCATCCACTTCTGACGAGCGAGCTGCAATCACGCCATCGGAAAGCCTTCTGTGCTTGCAACAGAGGCTGAACAGAAACAGCCTTTTGCATAGCACATTGCTTTATGGTCACAGGAGCACAGCCAGATTTTGGTAAATCTCTGATGAGAGGCCAGCACAACAGTGGGCGTTTGTAAGAGTACCAGGAACGATCATGCATACCAGCAAAGAAACTGGCACTGTAGCAACTTTACTGCACTAGTGATCAGTGCATGGACTGGACTGAGTGGCTCAAACCTGAGTACGGGAAAACCAGGGACCAGAACTGCACCTCGGGCAACTCACCAAAATCATGCCTATTTTATGAGGAGTTGGACCAGGTGCTGGGCACTGCTCTGAGCATGGAGCCAACGGTGGTGCATGATGACCTGGTCAGACAGGATGGCTGATGGGGACTGATGGAAGCCAGCAGCAGGTGCTGAGTGAGGACAGTAAAGTCTGTTCCTGAAACCAGCCCCAGAAGAGGTTTTGGAGCTGGAGCAGCAGCACATCCTGGGCCCCATACTCGGAGAAGGTGCTTGATGCCCCGCTCCGACAAACAGCCCACTGCAGAGCATGCACCAGACACAGAAGGGACAGAAGCTGTCCCTGAGCGAAGTGAGTTTCTGGCTCCATTTTAATTTTATTAATACAGTAATAGGAGGAATTTCCATTCTATGAACCAGTGCAAAAATTACTGGATGTCACGGCTACGAGCATGCATCCTGCTAATGGCAGATTGTATGCCAGTAGCTTGACTCCCATTCAGTCCATTTCAATTAGAGACAGTCCATAGGTGACAAAATCAATTGTGCCAAATTCAACTTGGGTTTGAATTTTTGTCCAGAAACATGCCGGGGGCAGAGGAGGAAAGCTGTGAAGTTCTGTGTGTTTGCTTGCAGCCATAACAGGGTAAGCCATGTGGAAGCTGACTCAGGATCCTACTGATTCCCTCATGGATTCTGACTCAATCCTGGGTGCTGATAGCTGCAAACTTTTCTTGAAGCAGGAATTCCAGACAGGTAGTCACATTTCAGGGCAGGACATATTTTCCAGGGCTATCTTGGTAGCCAGCTAGCCCACTCCACTCATACATGTGCTGTTCAGTCACTATACATTTGAATGCTTTGGCTGCATCCACTGTGTTTCCAATGGGATTTCAATCTGCCAAAAGCACATTCAGCAACCATTCTAAACCTGCTGACAGTGTAATTAAACCATCTTTTCCAAAGTGGACAGTGCACCATGGTCAAAGGGCTAGAGCGGCACATTTTGGGAGGGTGCTAGGGAGTCTGGTATACGCATGGTTTGACTCAGGTCTGTGCAGTGGAGTGTGGATGCCAGAGCCATAGGTTTACGCCCAAGTTGGAAAATTCTTAAGGTAGGGTTAACAGTCAGTGTAGATGTTCAAGCCCTGGGATCTCTAAACCAGGGTCAGCTGACTTGAGTCCCACAAATCCTGGGCTTACACTGCAATGTAGACATACCCTATAGCACCAAAATCCACAGCATGGAAGTCTGCAGTTATTTTCCACTGAACTGAGCCTTCAGTAATCGCTTAAAGATTTGTGGATTTTGTCTGGTTAGCAGATCTTAACTCTTGACAATCTCAGAGCTGAAATACACTTACAGAAGAGCTCCTCTTTGAGATAATTTGGCATAGCTCCATTGATTTTGATGGAGTTAGACCGATTTATGCACACTAAGGATCATCTATTGTTAAAAGCAGAATGTATCCCATCTACATTTATGTATGTATATATACGCACCTTCCAAGGCTTATTAAAACCAGGTTTGCAGAACTGCCTGTAGTACTCCCAATAACTTTTGTTATGTCTGTAGGAACCTTGCATGTCTATGTATGTTGCAAACCTGTCTGGGCACTTTGAGACACAAAGCTGTAAGGAAAGAAAAAATGCATAACGATACACTGGAAAAAAACAAAACAAAAGACAAACAACCTCTCCCCCCCCCAAACAACCCACTCATTCTATCAAAACAGCAAAACAAAAAAATGGCCATCTATAAAAGTGCCCTGTTTTATCAGATTGTCTGGAGCAATGCTTACTGTAGCATTTAGAAAGGGACAGTCATTTGTCTATTGCTAGAATCTCTAGATAAACACTTTTTAAAGCTTTTGATCGACCATTTCAAATCTCTCCTCAAGTTCTGGATCTCTCAACTGCTCTGCCTCCATGTGTCTTGGTGGTCTCCATACATTCTGATATACATGTACAGTTTTAAGTTTGTTTTTTAAAAATTTTTATTGAACATACACAGGAAAAAATCCTCAAAAAGGCCTTGATCTAACCCCCTAAGCTCAGACAGCTGTGTACATGAATATGCTGGTGTGGCAGCACAAGACGTGGCACGACACAAGACACAAGACACTGGCCAAATGAAGGGGGCATTTGTACTAAATTAAAGCTGTAAATTGCCCTTTACCCATGTCAGAGTTCCCACAGGTATCAAACAAGTCAGGTGCACATGCCAAGGGCAAAATTCACATCTCCCCAACTAAAGCCAAAGTAAGCAAGATGTGTGTGAGAAACTGTCAAGGTTCCTCCCCCACTCTGAACTCTAGGGTACAGATGTGGGGACCTGCATGAAAAACCTCCTAAGCTTATCTTTACCAGCTTAGGTCAAAACTTCCCCAAGGTACAAAATATTACACCCGTTATCCTTGGACTGGCCGCTACCACCACCAAACTAATACTGGTTACTGGGGAAGAGCTGTTTGGACGCGTCTTTCCCCCCAAAATACTTCCCAAAACCTTGCACCCCACTTCCTGGACAAGGTTTGGTAAAAAGCCTCACCAATTTGCCTAGGTGACTACAGACCCAGAGCCTTGGATCTTAAGAACAATGAACAATCCTCCCAACACTTGCACCCCCCCTTTCCTGGGAAATGTTGGATAAAAAGCCTCACCAATTTGCATAGGTGACCACAGACCCAAACCCTTGGATCTGAGAACAATGAAAAAGCATTCAGTTTTTTACAAGAAGACTTTTAATAAAAAATAGAAGTAAATAGAAATAAAGAAATCCCCCCTGTAAAATCAGGATGGTAGATATCTTACAGGGTAATTAGATTCAAAAACATAGAGAACCCCTCTAGGCAAAACCTTAAGTTACAAAAAAGATACACAGACAGAAATAGTTATTCTATTCAGCACAATTCTTTTCTCAGCCATTTAAAGAAATCATAATCTAACACATACCTAGCTAGATTACTTACTAAAAGTTCTAAGACTCCATTCCTGTTCTGTCCCTGGCAAGAGCAGCACACAGACAGACCCAGACCCTTTGTTTCTCTCCCTCCTCCCAGCTTTTGAAAGTATCTTGTCTCCTCATTGGTCATTTTGGTCAGGTGCCAGCGAGGTTACCTTTAGCTTCTTAACCCTTTACAGGTGAGAGGAGCTTTCCCCTGGCCAGGAGGGATTTCAAAGGGGTTTACCCTTCCCTTTATATTTATGACAGAAACTAAGAGCTGGGAGAAAGAAAAGGAGGACTAGTGGCACCTTAGAGACTAACCAATTTATTTGAGCGTGAGCTTTCGTGAGCCACAGCTCACTTCTGGGAATGACTGGATCCACCCACGGGTAGGCTGCTGTTCAGATTCATGTATGGAGTAGTGGTTGCTGCTCCAGCACACACTCTGAGCAGGGCCTTCCTGACCACTGGGTCCATGATTATGCCCTGCCCTCCTCAATGTTCCCGTGAGCCCACCACTGTAGCATAGAATGGCTGCAGAGAGACTGCACCCCCTGCAAAGCTACCCTCTGTGGACCCTTCCTCTTTAGAGGCTTGTCATAGAAGGAAGTTAATTTCCCCTAAAGGGCATAGCATACAAGTGCCCTAAGCAATTATTTCACATCATGAACATGTGAGGGAATGTCCATTGAAAGGGATCTTATGCCATAGGCCCCGACCTGGTGGGTGCAAGAGTCTAGTGGACAAGCCATGGATCAGGGAATGAGGGAATTTGAATTCTATCCTTGTTCGGACAATGAATCGCTGTCTGCACATCTGTCATAAATATAAAGGGAAGGGTAAACCCCTTTGAAATCCCTCCTGGCCAGGGGAAAGCTCCTCTCACCTGTAAAGGGTTAAGAAGTTAAAGGTAACCTTGCTGGCACCTGACCAAAATGACCAATGAGGAGACAAGATACTTTCAAAAGCTGGGAGGAGGGAGAGAAACAAAGGGTCTGTGTCTGTCTGTACTTTTCTTTTAGCCGGGGACAGACCAGGAATGGAGTCTTAGAACTTTTAGTAAGTAATCTAGCTAGGTATGTGTTAGATTATGATTTCTTTAAATGGCTGAGAAAAGGATTGTGCTGAATAGAATAACTATTTCTGTCTGTGTATCTTTTTTGTAACTTAAGGTTTTGCCTAGAGGGGTTCTCTATGTTTTTGAATCTAATTACCCTGTAAGATATCTACCATCCTGATTTTACAGGGGGGATTTCTTTATTTCTATTTACTTCTATTTTTATTAAAAGTCTTCTTGTAAGAAACTGAATGCTTTTTCATTGTTCTCAGATCCAAGGGTTTGGGTCTGTGGTCACCTATGCAAATTGGTGAGGCTTTTTATCCAACATTTCCCAGGAAAGGGGGGGGGGTGCAAGTGTTGGGAGGATTGTTCATTGTTCTTAAGATCCAAGGCTCTGGGTCTGTAGTCACGCACGCAAATTGGTGAGGCTTTTTACCAAACCTTGTCCAGGAAGTGGGGTGCAAGGTTTTGGGAAGTATTTGGGGGGGAAGGACGCGTCCAAACAGCTCTTCCCCAGTAACCAGTATTAGTTTGGTGGTGGTAGCGGCCAGTCCAAGGACAACGGGTGGAATATTTTGTACCTTGGGGAAGTTTTGACCTAAGCTGGTCAAGATAAGCTTAGGAGGTTTTTCATGCAGGTCCCCACATCTGTACCCTAGAGTTCAGAGTGGGGGAGGAACCTTGACAACATCACTTACTGTAACCTCAGTTTCCCCCTCTGTAAAACTTGCACTGATATTTGCTATGCATGGGTGTTGCAAGGCAACATTTAAACATGGTCTGTACAGGCCTCTAAAATCCATAGTACTGGCAAGGCCTGTCAGTGGCAGCAGAAGTAGGAACAGATCTCAGGACTGCGCTCACTCAGGTAAATGATCTGGCTTGGGAGACCACCACAACCTCCTCTAAAAGTCACAGTGTGAAGTATCAAGCCAAAGTGGTACTTCAGCATTTTCACAACAGCCGTTAAAACCTTTAATCTGAATTATCATCCAAAGACTAGAAAAGGTCAAAAACCGCTCCAGTTTCACAGATCTGTTGTGAACCTGAAAATAGATAAATTAAAACACAACCTGTTTGTGACGAATATTCCATCTTGCTTGCCTCACATTAGTGATTACTTGATTACAGCACGAGTCCCAATCCGAGAGTGCATTGCACAACAGCAGTAGCGTTGACCTATATATTTCTTAACATTATGCAGTGTTCCCTGTAACATAAGAGGCTGCCGCACAGTGTGCTAGGTAACAAAGTCAAGACCACAGCAGCACAAATCAACACAGAGATTCATTTAATATTCTACCAAAGTGACAGGACCAGACTATATTACTTGGTTTACACTAGAAATTAATGCTGGTGTAACTACATTGCTCAGGGATTTTCCACACCCCTGAGCAATGTAGTTATACTGACCTAATCCCCAGTGTAGACAGTGCTATGGCAACAGAAGGGCTTTTGCCATCGGCATAGCTACCTCTTGGGGAGGTGGAGTACCTACAATGATGTGAGAAGCTCTCCCATCTGCATAGGTAGCATCTTCACGAAGCGCTGCAGTGGCACAGCTGCAGTGCTGTAAGTGTTGACAAACCCTCAGTCTCTGTCTACACAAGCTATGTATGCCTCTCTTCTACTGGGACCTTCTGATCACCCCTTCTTGTCAACTGTTGAGAATAGGTCACTTCCACCTTAACTGAATTGGCTCGTTAGCACTGACCCCCGACTTGGTAAGACAACTCCCATCTTTTTGTGTGCTGTGTATTTATACCTTCCTATTGTATTTTCCACTCCATGCATCTGATGAAGTGGGTTTTAGCCCAAGAAAGCTTATGCCCAAATAAATGTGTTAGTCTCTAAGGTGCCACAAGGACTCCTCCTTGTTTTTGCCAAACCAAAGGGTTACTTAACATTAAACAATCACGTTGACCACTACCAATTCCTCAGAAGGCATGTAACATGTCTGGACAAACAAACACTATTGTCAGTAGTAAACAAGAAAATATGCATTTTTTTAAACATGGCTGGTTTGGAAAAATCTGTGTGCCAGTCAAAATGATTTTCTGAAATATGGCTATAATAACGTGCACTAACTACATTGCTGCACAGTCACTCGTGCTATATTCATGACGGACAATTAACCAAATCCAGTCACACTCACATTGGGAATTTTTTCAACCCTAAATCCAAAACAAACAGTTCTATGCATTTCTATTTATTTTCTCCTGCCCTTCGTTAACAATATACACTGAATCCACTACACTGTATACTCCACTACACATGTATACCACACTGTATACACGCTATACACACACTGCGCTTTACAATATGATCAAACTATATTCTACAAAATGCCACTAGTCGATCAAATAACTTCTATCAAGTTTTAAGCAGCAATAAGCAAGAGGCAGAGAGAATGTTTTCTCCCTGTATTTCACTTACCTGTGTTGTAGGGCACTGTAGGTTTATTAGCACTATTGGGCTGGCACATTTCAGAATGTTGAAGTAAAACAAAATGGTCTTGTTCCTATAGAGAAATAGGAATAAAAACCACTATTTTAATATGTACAGATGTTTATATACTATGTTTATGACCAATAGTACTTGCATGAAGTTACTACCAGCACACAGCAAGCTGTACCAGCTGACATTTTTATGTTAATCAGAAGGTGGCGCCAAAAATCAAACAAGAGTGTTTTGTTGCTCAAAACCTGAAGCAGCTGCCTGGGAAAACAGAAACACAGCACTTGAAAGGGATTCTCACAGACCCAAGTACTGGTCAGAAGTAAGGGCGAGATTGTGGCTGGCAGTGCATGAGGGGGAAGGGAAAAGAAGGGGAAAAAGCCTTCTGATCTTCACCCTTACGCCAGGGCCAGGCACAATGTGGTCAGGGCATGCAGCTACTGCAGTAGACTTGCATCAGCATCAGTGGAGAATAGAGCTGGTGGGAACATTTTCATTCCAATGTGGAATGAAAACAAATTTTGAAATCTCAAAAGTTGCTATGAAACGGAATTGTCGCCCTGCGGTCAGCTCTAGTGGAGACCTCCTCCAAGGGAGCAGGTATGGACAAGGCCATGGTCCCGCCCCCTCCACACTAGGCAGCAAAGTTAGCTGGGTGTGAGAGGACTGCATGCTGCAGCCTTGCAAAACGTAATGGCAAATCCCCTGCAGCATGCAATTCCAACAGATCCCCCATTGCAACACAGCTATCTCCCACCTCACTGCATGGCTTTAGCCTTCAAGGCCCACTCTGGCCCATAACACGTAAGTGTTGCAAACGGTAACTCCCTGTGCAATTGGGAGTAGCTCAACTGGCCTAACAGTTTAAAAGGTCAGGATGTTTTCACTCACACACGTTCAGTCATGTACTAGTTAAGGAAATAGTTACACACTCCTTGCAAATATAACTCCCAATCCTTAACTGTTATTTCTTCAAATCAACAGAGTAACATTTTGGGCTGAAATATCCCAGCTCTTTAAGAGTTCCCTGGGAGTATGTACCCTTTGTGAACTACTCAGCACAGCCCATGTCATTAACACATTGTTTTACTCTCATGTTGATGTGTTCGATGGCTGCTGACATTAACAGGAGACAACAAAGATTAAACGTGTATGGCAGAGGGAAGTGGCCACATAGCAACAGAGAAAGAGAGAGAACACACACAATGGACAACAGAAAATGGGGTGAATGCAAAAGAAGCCTTCTGCTTCCCCCAAGGGGCGGGAAGCCCCCAGCCACCAATGTCACTACCTGTTTCTGCTTACCTAAGCCCTACAGTGGGTCGTTTGTGTATACGTGTGAGAGAGAGAGTGAGAGTGTGTCCAGATCCTACTTCCCTACTGCTTTGCACAGGTCCTCCGAAGGGTTGGCGCCCGGCCCAGTTGCCTCTCCTGATCCGCCAAGGACTCTGGGGCAATTCCTCCTGACAGTTCTGCCTCCCTGTGCAGGGGAAGGTGGAACTCTTCTGGCCACTTCTCTGCAGCTCTCTCCAGCTCCATGCAGGAATCTGCAAGAGCAAGTGGCACAGACTACCTCCAGACTTCTCCTCTGCTCCCTTCCCTGCCTTGGGAGGGGACACTATCTTGGGCGTTCCTCCACACCACTCCCTATCCCCATGCAAGGGGTCTGGTGGAAGCCCCTCTGGCTGTGGCTCTGGACACTTGCTTCCTCAGTTCCATCCCTGCAAGCTGAATGGGAAGAGGAAAAAGAGGCAGCAGAAGAGTTGTATCAGCTGTGGGCTTTTGGTTGCTGCTTGCATGGAACTGGATTTAATATCAGTTATAATTAAGTGAGGGGTGTTTTAATGCAGACTTTAGAAAAAGGAAAACCTTTCCTGTAATGTGGTTTCATGGCTCCAGCTTCGGTTTTCATAGAAGTAATGTTTCGACACATATAGCTCTTTTCATCTGCAAGTACCTCACAGATAGTAACAGATTAACTAACCCACGCAGCTCCCCAGATGAGCTAGGAATTGCCACCCACGTTTAAGAGACTGGAAAATAAAGTTGGGTTAAGACACTAGACCAAGGCCAAAGAGGGATTCAGCATCAGAGCTGTCTGTCTCCCAAACCTGAGCTCAGACCACACATCCTCTCTCTAGTAGCATAAAGACAGCAGGTAGCTAGCAGCAGACAGTGAGACCTTGCTCTTGTTATTTTCAGCTGCTGTTTGGTACTTAGCACCTGCTGAGCAGGAAATGCTGGTTTGTACAGAGTGAGAAGCAGTCTGCCATGCTTTTGGTTATTCCTCCCCAGAGATGAACATAATGATTTCTCAGAGGACATATTAGTTAAATATCCTAATTTGAGCAGTCAAAACCAGTGGCAGTTAATCAGAGTCTTCAGCTCTTACAAAGACACTTTAAAATATGGCTCTCTTTGCACTTAATGGCACAAGCCATATTTTATAATAGTATTTTACTATTCAGTCTCCATACTATGCAAACAGCTGCATTACAGTAATAACTCAGGTCTAAATTTCCACTAATCAACTGAGCTTTTCAGAAACCTTAATTGGAATAAATACAGTAAGGTGGGGGTGGAGGTTGCTTCTTCTGAAGCCTTCCAATTGAATTCCCAGGAGGCAGAGGGCTGATGCCTCGTTTCTCATGTAAGCCTCATGAGAAATAAGCCAGATGATTGCTCTGAGTACTCACTCATTTATGGTGTCCTTCTGGCCACAGAACTGCCCATAGCTGTCAGTCGGATAGACCACCTTCCTGGGGTCACCATGTACCCAAGCTAAAAACATATAAAGAGAGAGACAGATCTTTTAACACCATATTCCAAGTGTCCAGCAGTAGCCTGCTAATAGTTCACTTTCTCTAGCAATTAAAATGCACCACCTGTCATGTACTATTTTAACCTCTCCCAATAGCTACTGAAGATAATTGATTTTCCTTAAACAGTAGATTTCTTAATGAAAAATTAAATAAAATATGGATGGATCAGTGAGACAGTAAAACATTTCTCTTTTTTCCTTCAAGACACACACGTCTGGGTGGTGGCCAGAATATGAGGTAATGCACTTAGAAAATAATGGTTATTAAAAGGAGAAAGAGGAGGCATTGCAAAAGCTTTGTTGGCTTAAAGCCACACTGTGCTATGGAGCTAAACCTCACAGACCAAACTGAGCCTTTGATTATACCCACAACCCCACTGAAACAAACGGGGTTACATGGGTGTGCGAAAAGGCAAGATTTGGTGATGACAATCTAGTGGACATCGAATCCCATTAAGAAGGGATGCAAACCCCCATTTCAGGATATAAAACCATGTGCTCAGCCCTCAGCGCTGTGGCTGGCTATGCTGATTTGTTCAGTACATAGAAGCAGAGACACAACTGTACGAGTACAGAACCTCAGCTTGAACCGGAGGATGCTGCTTCTATTCCTTCCTCAACTTCAGGCGAGGATTTCTTGCTCCTGAAAAATCTCATTTTCTCAAACTGTTTATTTCCATTAGCACAATCCGTTCCCATTCAGGACCTAGTACACCACTAGGAAAATCATCATTAGTATAATTTTTTTCTAAGCTATAGAGGTCAGACCTGACTAATCTTCACAACTCTCCAGTAAGCTCTGAATAATTTTGACTGCCCTTAGCTATCACAATTTCTATCTATATCCTCCCCATAACAAAATAATCAGAACTTCACCTCACATTCTAAATATTACCTTACAAGTGCAGGATGGTGCCAGCATATTAGCCCACACAGTATGCCCTAGATCTGGCTTACTAATACAACTGCTGCAAAATGTGGATGGCTTTGGTTTTATTAACTGTGATCATTTCCTAGTCTTTTCTTTTCTCTAGAGCGTGTAGAGAAGGCAATAGCCATTACGATTATGTTTAGCCCCTAATTTCCACCTCTCAGAGTGTACACTGAATGTCAGAAGCCACTTTAGGCCCTGATCTATACAAATTACTTTGAACTTGTTTCTCTATAATTGCCCCACTTTTCTGTTGATTTTGTGGTGCTAAATTTAGTCACACTAGAAATTAATTCTTCCTTCAGGTCATTGCAGGGGCACTTAGATACAACGGTGATGGGTGGAATGGAGAGACAACCTCTGCAAATCACAGAACAGTAGATGTAATACTTATCCTTGCAGACTATGGGCTAGATCTGCAATATACCCTCCATTGACTTTAATATAGCTGCACCACTGTATACCAACTCAGAATTTGCTATGTATCTTTCACCCTAAATCGTTTTATTTTTCTGGCACTCTTGATTTCTGGATCTTATGCTAGTTTCTAAATTCATTTTAATATGTCTCAGTTACACCATGTTTTCTAGTTTGTAAAATAATCTGCTAGTTGGTCTCAAATATTTTCTAGCCATTCAAATAAATTCTGTCTATTTTCTCCCTTATCTATTAAGACCTGGATTCTGCAATGTACAAAAATTTTGCACCGGTGAGAAGTCCCATTGACTTCACTCAGTAATGTTTAACCTAATCTATCAGACATGATCTTCCTTATATGAATCCATATAGTCAGTCTTTACTACATAAGATATATGTACATTTGGTTTATGAAATAATCTAAATTTTGAGTGAGTGGTCTGTTTCTGTGTTATATTGTATGCCTTCCTCCTAATATTTTCCTGCATCTCATGCAGTTAAAGGACAAGGCCAAATGGATCCGTTTCTCTGCTGACACCAAATGGGTTTAATCCCTTATTTGTATGCTCTTAGATGGATTTTCTTATCAACCTTTCCACCGCCAAAAATTACTTTATAAAAGTATTTGAAAATTACTAAAAGAAACCATTTGTTCCCTTCTTGACTATTTTCCCTCACACTAGCATAGCAGGAGGCAGCATGGATAAAGCCGGTCAATTCAGATTCAAAGTAGTGCTGAGATTTCAGTAGCAAAACTTCTTCTGCGTTGTATAGATAATTTGGAATTATCTGCTACTGCCAAAAATATCCCCTTCCTAGGTAGGATATTTTATCTGCAATTATTCCCCCCTCCACACACACACAAACACACACAATTGGAAAAAAAAAAGACAAAAATTGCAGTATAACTTTGCTAATCATCTCAGAACACCATTTACACACAGAGAAATCAACCCTCTCCCCATTGCTCAGCAAAGAGCAGAGTGCTGTAAAGAGGCTGCCTGTGATATCAGGGACTGGGTGAAAGCCCAGAAGTCTACACAGCAATGAAACAGCCCCGCAGTCAACTGGCATAGGCCAGCCCACAGGTTTTTGTTTGCTGTGTAGACATATCCAGAATTTCCTGTGCCTAGTGGCCCATGAGGCAACCCATTTCCCCACTGCTGTCTGTCCAAAAGCAAAATGTTTGACTCCATCATAAATGGTCTCTGTGATGGCAGTTCGCTTTTTGACCATCCTGCAACAGATCATTCTTTGTCCTCCTTGCCATAAGGCCCTTTCTTACTTTTACAAAGCATTGATTCATAGATTCCAAGGCCAGATCACCATTGTGATCATCTATCCTGACCTCCTGTATAACACAGAATAGAGAACTTACCCCAAATAATTCCTAGAGCAGAGCTTTGACACAAATATCTGGTCCTGATTTAAAAATTTCCAGTAATGGAGAATCCACCACGATCCCTAGTAAATTGTTCCAATGGTTAATTACCCTTACTGTTAAAAATGTGCATCTTATTTCCAGTGTCAATTTTTCTAGCTTCAACTTCCAGCCACTGGATCATGTTGCACCTCTATGTGCTACAATGAAGAGACCATTATAAAATATTTCTTCTCCAGGCAGATGTTTATAAACTGTGATCAACTCACCCATACATGAGCTCCTTGAGTCTATCACTACATGCCTGTTCCCTCATCCTTCAATCCTCGTGGCTCTTCTCTTAACCATCTCTACTTTATCAAGATCCTTTTTGAATTGTGGACATGAGAACTGGACACAGTAGTCATCACAGTAGTGCCAAATATAGATGTAAAATAACCTCTCTATTTCTATGTGAGATTCCCATTTACGCATCCAAAGATTGCATCTTTTGGCCACAGTGTCATACTGGGAGCTCATGTTCAGCTGATTATCCACCACAACCCCCAAATCTTTTTCAAAGTCACTGTTTCCTAGGATAGAATCTCCTATCCTGTAAGCATGGCCTACATTTTTTGTTTCTAGTTGTATACGTTTATATTCAGCTGTATCAAAGCAGTTTTTTGCTTGCTTGCACCCAGCTAAGCAATCCAGAAGGCTCTGTATCAGTGACCTGTCCTCTTCATTATTTGCATCTCCCTATTTTTTGTGTCATCTGCAAATTTCATCAGTGAGAATTTTATGTCTTCTAATTAAGCTTGCAGATGACAAAAATTGGATACTTGTATGCACTGAAACATCATTGGCAATACAATTATATACAGATAAACAAAGTACATTTTGTTATGTATTATCCTTACTGTTTTATCATTTCTCATTATCCAATGCCCACTGAAGTCACTGGAATGACTCTCACTGGTTTCACTGGGTTTGGATTAGGCCCTTAACTCACTAATTCTCCAAATGTGATCCTTTGCAATGGGCTTCCTGGGCATTAGTGGGAATTAGTGAGGTACAAGTGCTGGACATTTTGCTCATACTTTTGTTTTTGTGAAGTATTCTGAACAGTATTTCCAGTTTTTGGGGACTCTTGTCCAGTTGCCTTCATCCAGTGGCCCATACCTACTGATTCTTGGTTGTAGCTTTCCTACAAGTCTGAGGCCTCAGTCATATTGAGGCACTAAACCAGTGTTGGATGAACCTGGTTTAAAAAATACGGTAAACGAGCTTTTCTATATCAACACTTGCTCTCATCCACTTTACTGGGATCAAAAGTGAGCCCCTTATCTAGAAAGCAGCTTTAGGGAACAGATTTATCTGGGTTTGCTGTAAAATTGGTTTCCTTTAGTTTGAAATCATAACTGCTAGGTGGAAGTAGGGAAAGTACATCTCAACTAATTTTCAGAGAGAAACCGAGAAGAATTGGTCTGTTATAGAGGATGGAGATTTAACATTTGATTAATATTGCAGCAGAAAATAGAAAAAAAACCCAACTATTACTTTCTTTGTGAGTTAGAACAATGTTGGGAAAAGAATCCCATAGGATAAATATTCCATTTCCTATCCTATTCAGTGTAGAATTGTACATAAATCAGCAGCCTCCATTGACAGTGGAAGGTTATTATCATGATTAGCATCAAAGAGTAGTGTTTGAGTCTTATTTGTTGCAGTGCCCTACTGGTGACCAAATATCAAGTACTGAAAGTACAATGAAATGGAATCCAAGTATATAGAACTTTTATGCCAGCAAAAGGTTGTGCGTGGTCTGATGCTTGTAAAATCACTGTTTGAATGCTGGCATACACAGCTGGGCTGAAACAAATACATCAACCAACCCAGCTGAGTCAGCCGTCAGTGTAGCAGTGGGACAGCATATGACACAGGCAAAGCAGTTGACAGACAGGGATCCACAATTCAGGATGGCTGAAGTTATGTCATTATCCTGTCACTGATGTACACAAGAACAATATCAGAAATGGCTAATGTCTATCATTTTAAATGTTTATCAAATACTTTTTTTTTTTGGCTGTATGGTTGAGCCAGTGGATGTAAATAGTGGAAAACTCCTTGTCAAGGAGAAACTGTGATTAGCACAACTGCTTCCACTGACATTTAAAAAATAACTGCAAATCTGTTTAGCTTATTTGAGTCATTCCCTCAACAGTGTGCTTCTTGGGAATACAGGCTTTCAT